CCACTAGCAAAATATCCCTTCATCACTACACCACCCTCACCTGCTTCTCCATCATTGCTCGATCATGTACAAAATAAACCTGATGTCGAGAAGAGCTTACGCCTACTCAAACGACAGCGGATGGAAACTGGAGATGATCGTGGTTTTTACGTTCAACAGTATGCAAAAGCAAGCCCTCAAGCAAGTGATGATGATTTGTTCTTGCTAATGGATAAGGTGAAAGAGTTCTTGGACAGCGATCAAAAAGTGTTCCTAGTCCAAGGTGATTCAGGAGCAGGCAAGTCAACATTCAATCACACTCTAGAGTCAGCTCTGTGGGAAGTGTATCGGAAGAAGCACGGTCGGATCCCATTGTTTATCAATCTACCATCCATTGATAACCCTGCAAAGGACATGGTCGCAAATCAACTACAAGCATACGGCTTCACAGAGACGCAGATCAAGGAACTGAAGCTGACTCGGTCATTCATCTTGATCTGTGATGGATACGATGAGTCCATGCAGACCAGCAACCTGTATGTTTCTAACCGTCTCAACAAGCCTGGTGAGTGGACATGTCAGATAGTGATCAGTTGTCGCAGTGAGTATCTTGGGATAGACTATCGAGATCGGTTCCAGCCTATGGATCGCAACCACCAAGCAGACGCTGGATTGTTTCAAGAAGCTGTGATTGTACCATTCTCTGAGGCACAGATCGATGACTATATCAAACAGTATGTCGGTGCCATGGATCTAATGTGGGGTTTGGATGACTATCAACGAGCACTCAAAATGATTCCTAGTCTAAGTGAGCTTGTGAAGAACCCATTCATACTGTCACTCTCGCTGGAGGTATTGCCGCGGATGATTGACCCACACCAAGATGCTTCCAAAACACAGATCAAGCGCGTCACACTGTATGACAAGTTTGTAGAGTTGTGGCTCGAACGAGGCAAGAAGCGATTAAGCGAGATAATGATATCAGGAGATAAGAGGATGTTCCGGACATTGTGTGATGAAGGGTTTGCACAGAATGGGATCAGATACTTGACAGAGCTGGCTGTGGCAATCTACAGACACCAAGATGGCAATCCAGTAGTGGACTATTCTCCATCGAAGGACAAGGGTACATGGAAAGAGGAGTACTTTAGCAGAGAGAGTAGGAAGGATCTCCTTCGAGAAGCATCACCTCTAAACCGTACAGGCAGCCAGTATCGGTTTGTGCATCGGTCTATCCTGGAGTACTGTGTGGTGCGAGCGATGTTTGAGCCACAGAAAGAGAGGAGCGTGATTGTGAGTGATAGAGAAGCACCAGAAGCACCAACTTGGTGTCGAAGAGGGAGTACCAGCTCTGTGTACAGCTTTGAGGCAGAAGAAAGTAATATAGTCGAGAAAGATAATGCTAGGATGGACCCCGACGAAAGCTCACCCTTAATGTGGAAAAGTTTTGTAGAGGAGCCATCTATTCTTCAGTTCCTTGTGGATCGTATTCAGCTGGAAGTGAAGTTCAAACAGCAGTTGTACGAGTATGTAGAACTGTCGAAGAGCGATAGCAAGTGGCGGATAGCAGCAGCCAATGCAATGACGATCCTTGTTCGAGCAAGAGAAACATTCAGTGGAGCAGACTTGCGAGGCATTCAGATCCCTGGAGCCGATCTTAGCCATGGTATATTCGATAGTACTCAACTACAAGGAGCAGATCTGAGGAAGACTAAGCTTCATGGCTGTTGGCTCCAGAAGGCAGACCTGAGTGAAGCCAAGATGTCAGGAGTACAGTTTGGAGAATGGCTACTTCTTTGCGAAGAGGGAGTAGTATGGAAGGGGTCATATTCACCTGATGGCAAGACATTAGCTGCAGCTGTGGTCAATCTAGATACCAAGAGGTGGTATGTCAGTATCTATGACACAATGACATGGGAGAAGTGTTTGACTTTGGAAGGCATTAAGTACTTTTGCTACTCTCCAGACAGTCAACATATTGCTGTTGGAGGTAGCAATATGATTAGCGTACTCAATACAACATCAGGTGCATTGGTTCATACGTTAGAGGGGCATACAGGCTATGTTAGTGCTGTAGTGTACTCGCCAAGCGGCGATCATCTCGTCACAGCTAGTTCTGATGGATCAGTGCATGTGTGGGATGTCAAGTCTGGTATACTCCAATACACATTAAAAGGGCATACTGACAGTGTAACATGCGTGGTGCATTCACCTGATGGAAAGCAGATTGCAAGTGGAGGCGAAGACAAGGCGGTACTATTATGGGATGTGGCATCAGGAGAACTGATACGGAAGCTTCAAGACTGTGAGTCTCAGGTTGAACAAATCGTGTATTCGCCTGACAGTCAGGAAATGATCATTCGTGGTGATGAGTCTTGCTCATTGGATGTATGGGATGCATGTTCTGGCCAGAAGAAGTGGGTCTTAGAGCATGAGAAGGCAGTCAAGGGTATTCAGTACTCTCCTTGTGGGAGATTCTCCACTTCGCTTTCCAATAATGAGGCATATCAGTGGAACATGCAGACAAGGAAGGTCATCCATACTATTATAGGCAATCCCGCTTTTGGCAATGACTTAAGCTATTCACCAAATGGTGAACAGATAGCCATTTGTTGTGCCGATAATAGAGTGCAGCTTTGGGATGCTCGCTCCGGACAACTGATCAACACATTATATGGCCACACTAAGGTTGTATTCCCTATAGCATATTCACCCAATGGCCACCAGATTGCGTCGTTTAGCCTGGATGGAACGATACGCCTGTGGGACACACAATCACAACAGTCTAGCCATGGTTCAGATGGGTATACAAAATCAGTCCTCCGAGTAAAGTTTTTACGGGACGGACAGCACATCGTATCCTGGAGCTCGGATGATACAGTTCGTGTGTGGGATAGTCGAACAGGGCAATGTATTCATACTCTACAACATTTAATAAGTGGCATCGAGTATTCACCTGATGGTCAGCTTGCCTATTGTAGCTATGACAATGATCTATGCGTTAACCTTTGGGATACTCAATCAGGCAAAGTTGTTCATACTTTGAAGGCTCCAAATTGGGATGGCAGCATCTCCAGCTTAGATATTTCACCCATTGACCATCAAATTGCCTGTGGCCACTCTAATGGAGATGTGAGTGTGTGGAACACACAAACAGGACAACTCATACGCACTCTACAAGGAAATGGCAATAGTGTGAATCAAGTGTTATCCTCACCTAATGGTCACCAAATTGCTTTATATGATCAAGGCAAGAGGATCAGAGTCTGGACAACACATTCAGGGGATCTACTGTATGAGTTAGAGGGTTTGGATTTGACTTACATGCCTGGCCAGGAATACTGTGTTTATTCGCCTGACAGCCAGAAGATAACATTCATCCAGGACAAAGAAAAGGTACAGCTACGGTCTGCACATACAGGAGAGCTCTGCTTCGAAATAGATTTCAAAGAGGTTCAGAAAGTGATTGCATTTTCACCATCCTGTCGACAGATGGTTGTTGGAAGTGATGAAGGGAAAATTAATGTGGTGGATACTGAATCAGGGATGGTGTTACATATGCTTGAAGGTCACATTAATAGTATAAATGGCGTGTCTTATTCTGGTGATGGCCAGTATATTGCCTCTGCCAGTCTTGATATGACTGTATGGCTGTGGGATGCAGAGTCAGCCAAGTGCCTAACTGTTATCCCATTGGTCGGGACATATGTTATAAGCCTTGACTGGAATGTTTCCGAAGAAGGATACTTTCTAGTGACAGGATGTTTGGCCGGGTCTGTTCGAATGTGGCAGATCACCAAAGAGGAGGATGGCCAGTGTTATGCTAGCCTGAAGTGGAGCACGAAGCAAACAGGTCTATATGCGAGCAATGCAAGGATTCAAGGTGTTTATGGCTTGAGTGAAATGAATAGAAAACTGTTGGAGCAACATGGAGCTGTTGGCAATATAATACAGACCTCCCAAGGAGCAAGTCATGAGGAAGCGGAGGAATCAGCGTCAGCCGAACTCGAGATACCACAAAGCGATGGTTTGGATACGAGCTTTAAGAAGGACAGTTGCAGAACAAGATCATTGATGGCTAAAAGTGAAGCAGCCAAAGGATACCAATTCATTTGCAGCAAGTGTAGTGAATGTAACGAGTGTGATGTTGCGCATTTTGTTCTACATGGCTCTTACAATGGTATTGACAGTTCCGATCAGCATCATCAGGAAGAGAGCATGCATGTCGATCTAGCAGATTGATATCCTATCATCATCACCATCTGTTTGATTTGTTTTACAATAAAGTGTGTGGATTAGTATTTTCTAGATACCTTGTCTTGGTCCATGATATAAACATCTTATAATAAGTTCCAAGTACCCTATTCTAAATCTAGCTTGAGTACGTAGGATGCGAAGGGTATGCTTGCTTGTGAACAGCAATTGATGAAACAAAGAAGAGGGGCCTCAATCACACAGCCTCTGTAAGATTATGATTTCTTATTTGATATTTGGAGAGAACAGTCACCGACGACTGCTTACAAAGCAAGCTGAGAGCGTTCTGCTGCAGTGAAGGGCTGGATCACACTAGTCTCTGGCATCGGATTCAGCTGCTTTGCTACGAAATGTGCTTGAGAGTGGAAGAAAAGGTATATTTTGACAAAAGATCATTTCCATCGGATCTTCAGCCTACAATACAACGTCTCGTTTTCTTTTTTTCTGAGGAACAAGATATGAAAGATGACCCATTCTCAATGTTTTTAAACATTTATGTTTTTTATTTATTAGGAGTGAAGTGTGCATGAACCAATGTATGATAAATGCGTACATGTACATGTACATGTTGCATGTATACTTTAAAGAGTGAAGGAGAGATTTTTTTAGGCGAGAGTAACATATTATTGAATTAGGAGTGAGTAATAATAAACAGCGCAGTTTTCGCCATGTCCCAGTGTTGTTCAAAAGAAGATAGCATGTTGTTTGTGCGTCATTGTTCGCTGGTTCTAATTGCTGAGACATTAGTTCTGGAGAAACAATTTTGCTGAATCTTTTTTTTTTTTTTGTTGTTGTTGTTGTTGTTGTTGTTGTTGCTGTTGTTTTTCAAAGCTGGAGTTCCGTGTTGAAAACCCTATTGCGCAGATGTAATGCAAGGAAAAAAAAAAAAAAAAAAAAAAAAAAAATGGCATGATCAGATAACATTTAAAACATTCCAAAATCAGGACAAACCAAACCCCTCGACAGTCAAAGACAAGCGGTTTTTTTTTTTTTTTTTTTACTAACCGATCCCAAATCTTGGAAGTAATACCGTATCCACCTTCATAATTCTTGTAATGGTGAGCAAGATGATACGTCTTCATTTCACGAAAGTGGATTTTAAAGACCTTGGCGTGATGAAGATAATAATGCGTCATGTCATAGAGGACATAACCAAGGTAGGCTCCTGCCATGACGGCATAGGCCTGGGGCTCTACAAAAAGGGTGTGGCCTAGCTTGTTGAGGGGTAAAGCCAGGGCAACTCCGAGAGCAGGAGGCATCACTAGACGCAATCTATAAAAAAAAATTAAAAATTAAAAAATAAAAAATAAAAAAGCGGTTAGATGTGGGGAAGAAAATAAGGAGTGGCCTATTTATTTTTTTTTACCTATCCATTGGCAAATAATGATGAATGCCATGTAGCAAAAAGTGTGCGGTGAGCCATACGGTTGAATCTGGTAAGAGATCATCCAGATGAAAAAGGAATCTGTGGATGACATATTCTGCTAATGTCCAGAGGAACATGCCCAGGACAAAGAGAGCAGCCAAGTTGTCTGGGCTGAGTCCGGTCTCCAGACTTCTATGAGCATTGTAGGTGATGATGGGTAGCCAGAAGATAGGGATGATGTACCAAGGGGTCTTTGTGAAGACCTCAAGATAAGGAGAGCCAAAGATCCGGGCAGAGCCAGAGATATGACGAGGAATATGGACCTGCTCAAGATAGAATGCCTTGGAGAAGTCGCTGTTCCAAAGCTGCCAAAGTAGAGGTTGGCTCAAGTCAAGGAACTTTGACTTTTTGTCTGCTGCCAGATCGGTGGTCTTGAGGTAATCCTCGGCTTCTTCTTTTGTTTCCTGTTGTTGGTCCGCCGCGTTGTTGGCTCTTTTGCGCAGTCCAAGAGGCTCCTCTGCTGCTGTTGTCGTTGCTGCTGTTGTGGCTGTTGTTGTGGTTGTAGTTGTTTGGGTGTTTTCCAGAGTTCCAATGAAGAATTCGTCCAACATTTCGTATGCACCATCGGAATGAGCATGGGTGAGGGGGTCGTTCATGAGTTGAGAGATGTCAGTTCCTGCGTGGTCGAGAATGTATTCCTCTCCACCAGGGTGGTCTTGAACGAACGAGGTCATGTCATAGACCTTGTTGTTGTGGATCACCCAGCATGAGTCTGCATTGTTATGGGCTAGGACCTGTTGCACAGAGAAACTCATTGTGAGCTGAAATTTCTTTTTTGACTTTCTTTCAAGAGCGAGTTGATGGATAAAATCAAAAAAAAAGAGAGTAAGAGAAGGATCACGAACGGGAAGATGGGGAATCGGGGAGGGATGATGATGATGAGCGAAGTAAAGAAAAGAGAGAGAGAGGAAGAGAGAGGAAGAGAAAGGAAGAGAAGGAGAAAAGAAAAGAGAGAGAGAGAGAGAGAGAGAGAGAGAAAGAAAGAGAGTGAGAATTGTTCCCAGTTCAGTTCAGTTTCTCCCGGCGAATTTTTTTATCCGCTCTTTCCGCTGGATGTTTACAAAAAGAGGCATTTCATATCCACATTCCGCAGCTCTGGCTTCACAGCTTTTGCTCATCCTTACTCTGACGATGAATCCCTTGGGGAAGAGAACCAGAGACAAATACAGAGCACTTTAATGCTGAATCCTTGTTCATACATTGTAAAGAGGGTTGTATTGGCAAGAAAGGGTACATTTTACACACATTAATCTACTTGCCAAAGCCAAAGGGGGTTTTTTTAAAAAAAAAAAAAAAAAAAAAAAACGCGCTTTTGGGCAGGCGTACACACAGCCCGGATCTGCAAATGGCAAGTGGGCTGTGAGCGAATAGCGTCATAAAAGAGTGTGTGATGGTGTATAAATGTACAAATATATATACATGTATAATTATGTTTGTACATGATTGACATGATTGACATGATTAGACCCATTAGCAGTGATGATGAAACCTCTGCTGAATCTGGCCTAGTCTCGTGTCCATCATCCTCTTTGTCTTTATTATCCACAGCTCCTCTTTCTTCTTTTTCTTCTTCTTCTTCTTCTTCTTCTTCTCAATCACTCCTCTTTTCTCTCTCACTCATTCGCATTCATTCCCTTTTTTTACCTTTTCCTTACTTTGCTCACTCGCTCTCTCATTCTCTCATTCTCTCATTCTCTCATTCTCTTCTCACTATTGACCTCTAGCCATCCTCTCCTCTTACACGCATACAAACAAACAACCCTTCATATCTTCACATACACACATACATTCATCCTTCTTCATTACAAACATTAGACATTAGACAGCACAATGACTACAATTAAGACTGGCATGAAAATGAATAGTCCTTTGCCCAAGGACCTCGCTGGTACGCTCTCTCTTTTCCTTTGTCTCGTTCATTAAATTAATATTATGATCACTCTACTTACGACTTTAATTATTTTAATTTCATTATTATTATTATTAATAATATTGTTATTACTATTATTTATTATCTAGGTGAATGCAAACGAGCAGCCAAGATCCTCAATGCTTTTGTAGGCAAGTCAAGTTTTTTTTTTTTTTTTTTTCTTCCTCACTTTCTTCTCACCCCTGAATGTCCGTTTATACATATATATATTTTTCAAATGAAGAGGGAGAGGACAAGGCAAAGTAGTGGATCAAGGAACAGTTCAGTGCTCTCTCTTCATATCATCATGGCTCAATATTTTTTCCCATTGTGGTGGCATAAAGGGAGATATCTATCAAGGAAAAAAAAAAAAAAAAAAAAAAAGTGGCGAAATTTCTTTGCAAAGCTGTATCACCCTTCCTATTAATACGACAGAGATACAAGAGTCGACAGAATATCACAGAAAAGTTCTTACATCTTGTCCATCCAGCTACTCCCAAATGTCTCAACTTGTGAATGAAGAATTACACTGGACTTTGAAAAAATATAGACGGAGTTTATTTGCTTCCTTTTTCTCTTTTTTACCATTTCATCAACTAATTGATTGCAATATTTTAACATTTCTTTTTTTTTTATTTTTTTTTATTTCATCCTGTCATATATAATATACAGATCCAATTGCTGCCAAAGGAGTAGACAACATTATTCCACCCGACATTCTCTCAAAAGCTCAGGGACTCGCTATTTTTACTGTTATCAAGGCTGGATTCCTGTTTTCAGGTCGAGCAGGTTCTGGAATCGTTGTTGCACGACTCGAGGATGGTTCTTGGTCAGCTCCTTCAGCCATCGGAACTGGAGGTATGGGCTTTGGAGGTCAGATTGGAGCGGAAATCACAGACTTTGTCGTCGTCCTCAACACCAAGCAGGCTGTAAAGTCTTTTGCCGCAGGAGGCAACGTTACACTTGGAGGAAATCTTTCAGGTATGTTTACGTCCAAAGAAAAAAAAAACAATTTTTTTTTTTTTTTTTTTTTTTTTTTTGGGTTACATTTCAATCACAAAGGTCGACAATCTGAACCTTGTGGAGGAATGATAGGAAAAATAATGCAAGGAAAAACAATACACCACCCCTTTTTTGTACTCCCTTCCCTTGTTATTTATTTTTTGATTGAGCTCTTGCTGAGTTCCCCTCTTATTACTTTTGGACAAAAACTGTCCGCCCCAACTGTAATAGAAACCTGTTTGCTTTCATGTGCCTGTAACACTCTTTTTTTTTTTTTTTTTTATTTATATTATATTAAAAAAAAATCCCTCATACTACTTGTAATAGTCGCTGCTGGCCCGATCGGAAGAACTGCAGAGGCCGCTGCATCCGCAAGTGTGAAGAGCGTTGCTGCCATCTATTCTTACAGTAAATCAAAGGGACTTTTTGCAGGTAATAATTGAAAACAAAGCAACCCACCCTTCGTTTCATTGTAACGTGACAAATAAAAATTCTAACAATTTTATTTATTTATTTATTTATTTATTTATTTATTTCTTTATTTTTTATTATTACAGGTGTTTCAATTGAAGGATCAGTGATTGTAGAAAGAAAGGATGCAAACGAGACATTCTATCGTCAAAAAGTATCGGCGGCAGAACTTCTGTCGGGCGCAATCACACCACCACCACAGGCAGATATTCTTTACAGAGCTCTCAACACAAAGGCCTCAGGGGGTCATTTAACCAGCCTTCACCGTGGAGGATCATCTCTCACCGAGATCGGCTCAGATTCATCAGGCGTTACACGCAGTGCCAGTCTATCCGTTGGTAGCAATCGTTATCAGTCCAACCTCGGCCGCTCAGCTTCAAGTGCTGCTAACTATGACAAGGCACGAGAAGCAGAAGGCGATCAGCTTCCCCATTACACTCCCACAGCAGCATCAGCACGCAAGCCTGTGATGGGACTAGGCGCTGGACGGGTCTCAACTGATAACAGCTATGGACATCAGCCCTATGGTTCCAACCAGAGCATTGCCAACTCGACAGGACCCAGGGTACCGCCCAGGATTGGAGCCAAGCCCGAGATTGTGACAGCGCTGTATGACTTTGCAGGCGAGCAGCCTACGGATTTATCATTCAAGAAGGGTGATATCATTACAGTCATCAAGAAGACTGAAAGTCGTAATGACTGGTGGACAGGCAAGATCCATGGACGTGAAGGTTCATTCCCTGCTAATTACACACAATAAAAAGGAACGCCATTGGTATATTATATACAATCATTGTGCGACAAGTCATATATATAAATAATATATAATAATAATCACAACCATGACATGATAACAATAAAATAAAGCATTATATATATACTCTTCAATTTTCTCTACATTTCTTTTTTCTTTTCTTTTCTTTTCTTTTTCTATTCTTGTTTTAATAAAGGAGAAAGAGGATAAGTGAAAGACTAGATAAAAAGAAAAGGAAAAGAAAGGGTTAAGAGCACAGCTTAGAAACCAACGGTCCAGACACGGACGAGGCCATCCTGGTAACCAGCAAAGAGAGTCTGGCCATCAGCAGACCAAGCCAAGGAGACAGCCTGGGGAGGTTGGGACTTCTTGCCAACGTGAGCAAACTCTGGCTTGAGCTCATCCACAACAGACTTGGACTCGAGGTCCCAGATCTTGATGCAAGATGAGGTAGCAGCGCACAACCAGTAGCGGTTGGGTGAGAAGACCAAGGCGTTGATGATATCATCACCCTTGCCCTCCAATGAGTACAAGTGCTTGCCCTCGTTAAGGTCCCAGAGCATGGTGATGCCATCACGTCCACCGGAAGCGCAGAGAGAACCATCGGGGGAGACAGTGACGGTGTTGATGTAGCCGGTATGTCCAATGTGGTTGGAGCGCAACTTGCACTTGGTGAGCTCCCAGACCTAGAGGAAGGGAATAAATATATTTTACAGCATTAGAGTCTACAATTCAATTCATTCAATTCGAACAAAAAAAAAATCCCCAGTTTGGTTTTTCTTCTGAAAGAGGGGTTGTGCGTTGAGAGAGTCGAGACTATAAACACATGAAATATCCCTTTTTTTTTTTTTTTTTTTAGTAATTCGTATTGTTGTTTTCGTCGCTGCTATTGTAGTAGTTGTTGATGATGCTGCTGCCGTTCGTTTCCGATATTATGAAGTTTGCTCCTAAAGTATAACATTTAAATATTTTCTTTTTCTTTTTCTTACCTTGACAATCTTGTCCCAGCCTCCGGAGACAATGACGGGATTGGCAGGGTTAGGGGAGAAGCGGACGCAAGAGACCCACTCGGTGTGACCATCCTCCTGAATAGTGAATTTGCATTCACCAAGGGTGTTCCACAACTTGATGGTCTTGTCACGGGAGCCGGAGACGATCTGACGGTTATCAGCAGAGAAGGAGACCGAGAGGACATCGTTGGTGTGACCGACGAAGCGACGGGTGGTCATACCAGTGTTGAGATCCCAGAGACGGAGGGTCTTGTCCCAAGAGGCGGACAAGGCGAACTGACCGTCGGACGAGATGACCACATCCTGAACCGCAGAGTTGTGTCCGTGAAGGGACTTGCGAGGGGTACCAAAGTTGCCCTCGTCGTCACGAACCAAGTTCCAGACAATGATAGACTTGTCTAAGAGGAGGTAGGGGGGAGGGGGGGGAAAAAAAAAAAATATTTGTACACAATTAATATCATCAATATATCAATATAGAATGCATTGACGGTAATATCCTTGACATGCTTTATTTGTTAAAAATAATAATAATAATAATAATAATAAAATAAATAATCATGATAAATTTGTTAAAACAATAAAACATACCGCGAGACGAAGTCAAAATCATGTCAGGGTTCTCAGTAGTGGTAGCAATGGCAGTGACCCAGTCACGGTGACCTAATAGAATATTTTTTAACACACAAAAAATCTCAAATCAGCATTCATTCCGTAAATAAATAATAACAATAATAATAGTAATTATTATTATTATTATTATTATTATTTTCCTCGATCCATTGGATCCCGTTGTTGTTGTTGTTGTTGTTGTTCTCGAAATCAATCACACCATCCATCTTTTTTTTCATCTTTAAACGCTTCCCTTCCGATAGATCGTAGCCTTCCCCATCTTGTCATAGGAATGAAAAGAAGTTTTTTTTTTTTTTTTTTTTTTTTTGTTGAAATAAATAAATGATCCTGTCCTTCCAATCTTGTTCCTGCTTCCTGTTTAAAAAGAAAGTGAGCTCATCCAGCCATGTATAGAATCAAAAATAAAAAAATATAAAAAAAAAATAGAATGAATAGGAAATCTTGATCGAAGAAAAAAAAAAAAAAAAAGAAAGTCGATGGGAGTAATTCATATGCGGTGCCGGTATGAATGAGCAGTCTGTTGCTACTGAGGATGCTTTCGGTCGTGTAAATCAAATGTATATAAATATATAAAAAGGACGCGCGAAGAGTGATCGGTGTTGCAAGATCAAGATGTCTGTCGTAAACGTGTAATGTATTCGATCATCATCCTTTTTTTTTTTTTTTTTTTTTTTGAGCGGAAAAAAAATATATATATATATACATATATCCGTCCTGAAAGAAGATAGCCCATCGATCCATCCATCCTATCCTGTCCTGTCTTAACTTGCAAGTCTACCTTCCCTTCTCTCCCTTCCTTCTCTCCTCCTCTCTCCCTTCTTCATCCTCCTCCTTCCTCTTATCCTGGTTTTCCTGATCAATGCCTTTGCATATCAAATGGATGCATACCGACAAGCTGACCGCGGTAGTTGAGGCTATCACCCATGTTGGAATGTAATTTGAGAAACAAAAAAAGGAAGAGCCAGTGGCCTGTAGACTGCAGTCTCACTTAATTCATTCTGCTACTTAAGGGTAAAACTTTTTTTGATTTTTTTTAAACCCCTCTCCCCACAAGGTACGAAGAGTTTGATACATAACCTTAAAAAAAAATTACCCGGCCTCTCGCTTCCTAGCAGTCTATGTCAATTGCCATAGCAGGGATTGATTGATTTTTTTACTTGTCTTTTTTTTTCTTTCTTCTTCTTCTTCTTCTTCTGGACTAATCTCTATGTTAAATATCTGTATATAGTATATTAAATATCCTTTTGCCTAATCTTTCCCATCTTTTGTTCTTGCTTCCAGTATAAAAAAAAAAAAAAAAAAAAAAAGAGCCTATTTACAGTTCTTGGGTGATCGCCAAGTTTTGTGAATTGCCAAAGCCACCATTATCTGACACTGAGGTCTTTACAAGAGACTCATTCGATCCTTCTCTTCCCTCTAAAAACCCATCTTCGGATGGTTCCTGCAGACTACTCGATACCAAGGTAGAGGAGGGTGAAAGAGTTGAAGTCCTATGTGTGAGTTGTCGTTGCTGTTCTTCTTGTTCATGCACTTGCTGTTGTTGCTGCTGTTCTTGCTGTTGTTGTTGTTGTTGTTGGCTTAGTTGTAATGACCCCTGTTTCTGCATTGACAGGGATTCACCGCTATCCCTAACAGCAGATTCATGTTCTATGGGCAGTGTATAAACCCAGCTCTTGGATAAATTACTGTGACTTGAAGGCACGACCCGCGCACTACTCGCTCGATTGAGCGTCACTCCACCCGTCGCAGTCCTGCTGTTGTTGTTCCCGTACAGCCCATAATGATTATGTTGTTGTTGCTGTTGCTGTTGTTGTTGTTGTTGTTGTTGATGATGATCCATTATATCATCTGAATAATTGCGACCAGAGAGCACACTCGATGGAAATGGACCTGCTGATAGAGGTCTATTGATTCTGTGCTTGTTGTCGAAATAAATTCCAGATAAATTATTGCAACCCTGAGAACCAGACATCCGGTAGATCCGTCTACGCCCAATATAGCTCGAGTTATTTTGCGTTGATGATCCTGAGCCGCTATGATCCTCTCCTCCCCCTCCTCCTCCTCCTCCATCCATTTCGTCCATACTACTAGTATTGCTGTAGAGACTGTTAGGTCGATCGAGAAATTCAGAACGTCGGTAGCTTTGATTCGGCCCAGAATTTTGAAACGAATGAAAATGTTGAAACCGTTCAGGAAGAGACATTGGGTTGACAAAGCTATGGGGTTGAGCCACTGCATGGGCTATTGATGGTGATGTCGTTGGCACTGGTGATCGTATAATAGGAATTGGACTGCGTGGACAACTAGGAGATACTATAACAATATATATAATCTTGAAAGCTTTAGAAACTTTTTTTTTTTTTTTTTTTTTTTTTTTGGATAGTCAAAAAAAAATAAAATAAAAATTAAATAAAATAAAATAAAATAAATAGATGTATAAAAAAAATTTTTTACCTGGAGTATTAACTGAAGCAGTTGATTTACTCCTTCTCCGTGTAAAGTTACTAAGTGATACTGAGAGTCTCCGTATACGGTTTTTGATCTTGTCTATAAGGGTTACAGCACCCTTCAAGTCCTCGTCAGTAATATGAACGCGTTGGTAATTGCACGGATCCGTTTCAATTCTCCATCTCTCAGGGTCTCTTAAATCTTCTATGACCCAAGGATGCTCCTACAAAAAAAAAAGAGGAAAGAGAGTTAAAATATATACTCGGCACAAAAAAAAAACACAAGTCAAAAAAAAAAAATAATAATAATAAAAAAAGTGAAATAAGTAAAGAAAGTCAAGAAAAAAGTTTGCTACCTTCACTTCCTTCAATGTGATCCGTTTGGAGACATCCTTTTCCAACAGCTTTGAAAGAAGATCTTTCAAAGAATCGTTCACGTGCTCACGTCCTGGTACAGAATCCGGTAAGCTTGGTTGCTTTCTGGAGATGATGTTGAAAAGCTCAAACTCTGTTTCTGCGATGAATGGGCATCTTCCATATACAAAGCAATAGAGGGTCACGCCTAATGCCCAGATGTCGATCGCTTTTGTGATAGGAGGCCGGGGTGCAGATCCTTGACCAGATCCTTGTCCTTGTCCTTGTCCAGACCCTGATCCAGATCCAGATCCTGATCCTGATCCAGAGGAAAAAGTTCCTGGGGGGGTTGAAGGATTAGTCTTTGAGGTTGAAGGAGTTAGAATAAATGATGTTTGAGATGCTGAAGACGGAGCAGGAGAGAACTCGCCTGTTGAGAGGAAAAAAAAAAAAAAAAAAAAAAAAAAAAAACGATAAACTATGAAGTTAGTATCAAACAGCATAAATTCAAATTACGGCAAAACACTGCATTAAAAGAGACGTATGCGGGCGTTAGAGAATAATGATGATGATAATGACAAGAACAATAAACTTACTAACGAAGCATAATTCGGGTGCAAAAAATGCTGGGCTTCCCGCTGTCTTTGCCAACTCGAGATCATCACCCCATTGATGAACTTGAGAATTTGAGGAGAAGGGCAAATAAGCTGAAAACAAAGGATTTTGAGAAGACTGATGGTGCCGTTGATTCTGACTGTTGTTGTTATGGCGCTGATGATGACTATGCCTGAAAAATTGTTCAAAAGGATTTGCATGGGAGGGGCCTGCTGGGTTTTTCTCTGTGATGTGCGAACCTTCCAGATCCTGTTCCGATGCATGTTTCTCACTGAAATGAGACACTCCAAAATCTGATATCTTGACTGTGCCATCACCTGATAACAAAAGATTAGCTGGCTTTATATCCCTGTGAATGATACCTTGGATATGAACTGATGAAGAAAAGTATCGACAAGTGAAAAAGTTAATAGGTGAAGAAGAAGAAGAAAAAAAAAAAAAAAGTGTACATGAGTACTTGGAGAAATACTTTTTTTTTTTTTTTTTTTTTTTTTTTCTTGCTCTTGGCACTTACGATACTCTAGTCCTAGAACCACATCACGAAAAATGGTCCGCGCGTCTTCAAGGGGTAAGATCGGTCTATCTTCAGCATCCTTCCACCGAACCTCTCCTCCTTCCATGTATTCCAATACTATGACAATAACAAAACACCAAAAAGTAAATATTAATGAAGGTAAAAAAAAAAAATTGCCTCTTTTTCAAGTTTCAGTTACCCAAGTAAATCTTTCTTGCACTCGGGTCATCGATCACTTCAATAAGTCGTACGACGTTAGGGTGGATACACTTCTTCATGATTGCAATCTCACGACGGATCTTTTGCTCGTTAGAAATCTGGGCCCGCCCAAGACGCCTTCGAGTGGTTTTGTCTACGATCTTGATTGCCTGATGCCAAAAAAAAAGGGGGGGGAAGGGTAAAAATAAATAGATCGTTAGCATCCATACCACGGTTAGTAACAAAAAAGTAAAAGAAGTAATAAAAAAAAAGAGGCGATTGACATATATTACACCTCTTACGTTTCTCCCACGGTCCCCTCCATTTCTCGCCCTGAACATGGGTTCTTGCGACTTTTTATTATTTATTTATTTATTTATTTATTTTTTTTGCCCTCCCTTCTTCATCCTTCACCCCTTTCTTTTTTTATTATTATTATTATTTTTCTTATTTCATAATGATCGCATTAAGAAACACTATGAGAAAGAAAAGTAAAGAGAGTAAAATGAACTTACACAATATTCGTTCGTTTCCGTATCGCGACACAACTTGACTTTACCATGAACACCTCGACCCAGCTCTTTTACGACCATGTACTTGTTAATCATCTTGTTGCCAGTCATGGGATCATAATCCTTCATCATTATGTGAGTCTCTTTGACGGGCTTGGGTGATGGAGAAGCCATTGTTCTCCGTGGTGAAGAGCCGTAACTGGATAGATTGGGTGAATTTGTTGGAGTTGTGTAGTTACGATAGTGCGATGATCGATGCATTGTTGGTGTAGATGGTGTCGAGGACCCAAGGAAGGAGAAACGCGATGATGACGATGCCTTTGGGACTGATGTTGAGAGTTGAGGAGAAGAGCCAAGAAGCTGTTGTTGCTGTTGTTGCTGTTGTTGTTGTTGTTGTTGTTGTTGTTGTTGTTGTTGATCTCTGCGACGAGGGTCAATACCAATTCCAAAGCTGGTACCAATGTTATCCTCAAACGATGTCCTGGCATCGTGAGGAAGTAACTCTAATGAAGACCCACGACCATAAGACAGTCTGGCTCTATCAATGGATGGACGTGTTGGGGATGTATTGTCGGGCGAATGCTCACTATCTGTTTGGATGATAATAGAGGATCTCGGGGTGCGTAGATTCTTCAGGCTGAGTCGTAAACCCGAGATCTTGCTCTTCTTTGGTGGAGCAAGGTGATCCCCAGGTGATGTTGTTCGTGAACTCTGGCGGCTGTGTGAGGGTGAGAGGGTGATATCATGAATGGAATCAGGATCCGAGAAAGTTTCTTCATAGTCTGTTATAGACGTATTGGACAGACCACCGAAAGAGGTCCTTCGTCCAGGCCGCATGTTCATTGTTGTGTGAAATGTGGCCGTTGGTGTCGTTGTTTTTCTTTGAGTTGATGGAGGAGTGAGTGTAGGGGTTATTTTATTATTATTTTCTATGCTCTATAGGGGCTCTGTTTTTTAATATAATTTCACTTGAATGAAGGTCAACTGTGGATTGAAGTAGAAAGAATTGAAGAAAAAAAAAAAAAAAAAAAAAAAAAAAGGATTCGGTTGGGTTTATTCTTTTGGTGTGGAGTGTTCCTGAATGTGAATTGAATAAAATGAATGAAGCAAACGGACGATGTTTTTTTTGAGCGTGTTAATTATACTTTAATGCTCAAAGTTCAAGAGTCATTTACTCTTGCGCCCAGACAAACCGAGCGGGAGTCTGAGCTAACAGATACGGGAGGAAAGGGTCAAGCAGAGGAGTTGAACAATAGCAAAGAAAGAGGAGGGGAAGGAGATGATGAATGAATGGAGAAAGCGTGAAAGGGTGAAGGATGTTGAGAAAGAGAGGAAGAGAGAGGGAGAGAGAGAGAGAAAGTAATGACGGCAGAAAGAGAGAAACAGAGAGAGAAGAAGAGTGCCTGGTGAGTTTGTGAATGAGAATGAATGAGTTTATGCATGGAACAGACAGACAGAACAGAGACAATTGAATAAGCAATAAGCAATAAGCAATAAGCAATAAGCAATAAGCAACAAGGAAAGAGTAAAAAATCCAAATGTCGAATAGACGCACATTTCCCACCTTCAAAAATACGTTAAGAAATATCTGTGACAACAGAGCTCCCCTCGCTCTCTCTCTCTCTCTCTCTCTCTCTCTCTCTCTCTCTCTCTCTCTCTCTCTCTCTCTCTCTCTCTCTCCTTCAATCTCTCTTTATAAAACATATATTTAAATAATCCTTCATTCGCAAAGACATTAATTCACAGTAAAGAACAAAAGGAATAAAATAGAGAACTAGAATTTAAAAAAAAAAAAAAAAAAAAGTTCAACAGATGCGATTGATCGGTGCAAGAGTCATCTTTGTGCAGATGAGATCGTTGTTGCAAAGTTGACCAAAAAAGGACTGCTGTTGGACGAGAATGGAATATTACATGTCACTGCAATCTCGTATGTAACGATGTAACAGAACCACCTTTTTCTTTCTTATTTCTTTTTCTTTTTTATTAATATGACTTCATCTGAATGGGCTCCTGAAAGACCTTTTGTTAATTGACCGCGCTCGCAGGAAAATAAAAAATAAAATAAAATAAATAAAGAGCGATTGTTATTATTGTTATTATTGTTATTATTATACATTTATATATATACGTATTAGCATTATTGTTGTTATTGTTGTTATTGTTGTTATTGTTGTTATTGTTGTTATTGTTGTTATTGTTGTTATTGTTGTTATTGTTGTTATTATGATCGGTATCGTCTGCATATCATCTTCACACTTTCTCTGCTTCTCTGTTGTTAATGGTCGTAATCAATTAGTGTGCCAAAGTTCCTCTTTGATAATTGACAATTGACAAAACGATGTTTCAACCGATGTACGTAACAATTAATGAACTGAACAGAAGGGCGAATACTAATCATACAAATGCCGTTTACGTTGGGACCCTACTGTTCATTACCGTCATTAAGCAATCCCTGGTAGATCGCTCGAACGTAATGCTTTATTATTATTATCTCTCATAATCCCTTCAATAATATTAATACCATTGTTAATACCATAATTTCTTTTTTACTAATTTACCAAAACTCATCTCCCTCTTACTGCCGTATTGACACAATAGAAAAAAAAAGGGCATGGATGGGTGGGGCAATGATGAGTTAAATGAAGTACTGAAAAAGCTTCGAAGGGGTGACTTTTCAAATGCTTATTTTGTCACCAAGGATAGTACTTCAGCATGAGTACTTGTGTGGTCAGCTTTACTTCCTCCCTTGACCACCAAGTATAAACATGTATTTTTAAGCTACTGCTTGTTACAGGACGTTTTCATTAACATGGATGGTCCCTAAGAGCAGCAACAAACCTTTCCCCCCCCCTCTCTCTCTCTCCCTCCCTCAAAACTTGTATACATAAAGATGGTGAAAAATAAAAAATAAAAAATCACAAAGAGTCTACATGTAGTCAAGATTCTAAAAAAAAAAAAAAAAAAAAAAAAAAAAAAGAAAGGAAAAGATCCTCAAGAGCAATATATGCACATGTCAAGTATGTGAGTTCAAAAGTGATAAAGCCATGAGCTATGAAACAGCAAATATCTTTCTGTCTATCTACAATGTTAATAGGCTAACTGAACCTTTTGCTCGATGACTATTTGGACATGGCACGTTTCGTCTCTCTACCCAACAGCGCCACCAATGTCATGTTCTCTCGAATGCGAAACAAAGCAAAGTTACACAGAAATGCTTAATTTTGCGTCCAAAGAAAAAATAAAAATCAATTAGGCCAATCAAGTCTCTGTAACTTGTCCTAGGAGCTCAATTTTGTTCAATCAGACCGACTTCAACCTTCTTGTTCCGGTAGTTTCTCCACGACGTCATTCCTATCCTACCACTTTGCCCAAGTGCTCAGCCCCTTTAGGGCGCAAGGACCCATTATCTCTAATCGTCGGGCCTTATTCACGTATATATTCCTGTTGTACAAACCTTCGGCTCAAAGTCCGGAACTTTCAGGACAAAGAGGCGTAGCAGTTTTCCTCGCTTGCACATTGTGGCATAGCAACGAACAATTGTATGACAATATGATGTATACTATGTGGAGCCATTCGCCCTCCTGGTGGACGGTCCCCCTCCGTTAGAATTTCTAGAAAGGGCCAAGGCAAGCACGTCATTCTTTCTACTAAAGAAAAGTGTACCTGTTTTCGCTCCAGAGATCGGTCAATGGATGGGCAGACTTTGTATTATATATCCATTTTGAAACTCTTTTGTATGTGTAGATGAATCCCAAGACTACATCCAACACCGGACGTTAAAGCTTACCAGCACTGACCAGAAGAGGATAGACATGTTATTCATTGCCACTTTTTTTCTACATGTAGTCTAAAGACGTCGTCTAATAAATAAAAATATCCATGCAAAGTGTATATGAATATATGCAAATGTGCATTTACGAGGGGGGTGCTTGTCTATATCCAGTATAGTGAGAAGAATAAAAAGAAAATGATTGCCCAAATAGGTTAGACAGCGGGACCAACTCACACAATTGTTTCTTGTGCCACTATGATGGGCCAGAAGGTCCGATCCCAGGACAAACCCAGTCGGAATACTTTTGGATGCACGTGTACATCTAGAAAAAGATTCGGTGTCATCATTGTTTAATAACATTGGCAGAGGAGGGAACTATTGACTAACGAATGAATAGCCAAAACTACAACAACGGACGAATGATGTCTCCTCTGACATACTAAGAATGTTCTTTTTTTATTACGGCCGTAGACTGTGACACAGAAACATGAAAAATCTTGAACTGGAACCGTCTTTCTTTGTGCTTCCTTTTCAGGGTTCATCAATGTTCCTAATTGAAAATGGGCATTTCGCCCTTTCACTCTTTCACGTGAAGTGTGAAAAGGATAAATAGGTTGCCCTACTTTCTGTAGACTCTTCTTTCTTCTCCTCTAAACTCCAGCCCTCTACTCACGCTTACAGCTTAATTAATCAATTAATCAACCAACCAATTAATCACTCATAACATTTATACTTCCTTCTTAACTTCTTTAACCAAGCCCTGGACCTTGAGCCTCGAAGAAAACCATCTTAATCTTTTTCATCATAGTACCTTTTTGTTTTTTCCCTTTTTCTAATATTCTTTATAATATAATTAAAGTATTGCAAACAAGTCAAACAAAAATGGTCGTATCCTCTCAATCTTTCGAACGTCCAACCATCGACATTGGTGATGGACTTATCATGCGTTGGTCTTCAAAAGCTGATACTGATAATGTTATCAACCTCGTCGGCGATGCCTTCAGAGTAAGATAGATTTACTTTTTTTTTTTTTTTTTTAGTGATGATCAAAAACTCTCATCCCCTCTCCACTCTACAATATCTGTGTGTATTTTGTAAAAAGTTGTAGAATTCTTGATTCTTACTGCTTAACTCTCTCTCTCTCTCTCTCTTTCTTCTGCAATATAATAGTGGATTCCATATGGTGACCCACTTCCAGAAAATATGGTTCCACCTCCTAATGAATACTTTATGGCTGGCGCTGTAAGTATAACTTTTGTTTCTTTTTACCCTATGGTACATTAATTGGTTGAGACATGTCTAATCCAAATATATATTCTATTAGAGGCGGATGTTGTCCGGGAAAAACGCGGCTATGAGCGGACATGACTATGCCTTGGTGGAAGATACTAAGCGGGCAAAGGGAAGAAACCCCATTGTTGCCTGTGCAGCTCTTCATAAGCATCCAGCCTATTATGGATCTATTAATCTACAATTCGGAAAGCCAGAACTAATTGCATGTGACCCTGTAAGTCTTAACCTCTATCTTTTTATTGTTGTTGTAGTAATAATAATAATAATAATAATAATAAACTATGGATTATATTGAGAAGGGAACTCACAATGATTAACAAACACATAAATAATTAAAAAATAATTTGGCTTTATCTAGGAATATCGTGGTAAAGGATTGATCCGTAGGCTTCTTTTTGAGATGATTCATCCAGCTTCTGATGCCAGAGGAGATGATCTTCAGTTCATCGGCGGTATTCCCTATTTCTACCGGTATGTCTATGTCTACATGTCTTTTTTTTTTTTTTCCCCTAATTTGTGTAACTATAGTAATTATTGCTCTTTCTACACTTGCATGCAGGGTCTAACATAGTTTTCTAATCATTTTTAATCATTACATGTTCATAGTCAATTCGGTTACGAATATGCTCTGTACGTTTGCCCTGGCACCAGGTTTGAAAATGCAGATGCAGTTCCTGCTCTTGCTAAAGGAGAGACTGAACCCTATAATCTTCGTCGAGCCACTGTAGATGATATACCACTCTTAATTCGGTTGAGTCACCCAGAAAAGAGACATGCGATTGCACAAGTCGGACTTCATTACACACCCGAATACTGGCAATACACCGTCCACGATATATATGAGGATAAACAGCATAGGTTTGATGCCGATCGTGATACAAGGATTATTGTTGACGTCAAAACAGGAATGGATGTCGGCTTCACTGTCGTTTCACATGGATACCTAGGCCCACAACTAGAGGCCATGGCATTGGAGGAGGATCTTGTTAAATATATAGATGCAAAGGACTCTGTTTTGAGACAGCTCTTTCAGCATGCAAGGGAGCGTCAAGAGATCGCAGCAAGGGAATATGAACTATACAAGAAGAAGATCGGTCTTGTGACCGAGGACGATACTAACGGGCCAAAACCTATCCGGTTCTCTTTTGGATTGCAACTTAATAAGGAACACCCACTGTCAATCTTGGTAAGCGACAAGATCAAAGATGCACCCAACAACATCTGTGATTACTTATTGTACGCTCGTATCCCAAGTTATAAAAGATTCATCCAAAAGATTACTCCCGAGTTGGAGAAGCGCCTTGCAGACTCTGTGATTGCTGGTATCAGCGGTCGATTGCGTCTCAACTTCTTCCGTAGGGTTGAAGGTCAGGATTGTAAGGGTCTGCAAATCTTTTTGGAGAAGGGAAAGATTGTGGATGTCCAGAACTGGGCCCCTCTTTCAGATGCACAATTGTTGGAAGAGAGATTGCAGTGGAAGGCACAAGGGACCAAAGCACCCACGATCTATGTTGCTTCCTTTGGGCCATTAACGTTCTCTTCACTGATAACAGGAAAGAATTCTGTTGAAGAACTGGTGTTGGCCAACGGTGAAAACTTGATCAAAGACAACCCTACTCGTACGTTATTGGAAACTCTTTTCCCCAAGGTTGACCACCATATTGATTCATATATCTGGTAGAAAATGAACTAAAATAAAGCAAATATAAAAAATACAAATTAAATTTTATGTTGGTTAATTCATCTTGCTGATTTGAGCATGAGAGGGAGAGGAGGCTTACATCACGTGCGATAACGAATTGAAGGATCTTTCAGGAACCATTGAGGATTCTTCCTGCACGCAGAAGGACCCTCTTCGAGGCCCATTCGCACACACACACACCTAAACAAACGAACAGACATTTTGCATATTGAGCACTTTTTTTTTTTTTTTTTTAGCTCCATCATCCATACACTTACTTCTTTCTCCTTTTTCTCTTTTCTTGAATTTCATTTCCACTTCTCCATTCCTCCACTTCTCCAGTTCTCCACTCATCCTTAAGCATACTCATTCTACATTCCAGTGATCCTCATTTACAACTTGTCTTCTGTCTTCTGAAAAGAGACTTACATTCAGGGCTCGAACTTTATAATCTGCAAGTCTCAAAAGAGCAATCTCATCCAAAGTATGTCTCACTTTGCACAGCAAATCCACTTCCTCTCTTCCTCTCTCTTTTTCTCTTTCTCTTTTTGCTCTTTTGTGGGAGCACAGATTGCCTTTCTGTCTTTGCACCCATCTCTTGCCTGACCAATAGTATCATCCTACTTTCAATCTTAGAAGTCCAGCTGGACACATTTTTTGGCTCTCCCACAATCAGAGACTACAACTCTCCCTCGCAATACATACACTTTTGTTCAAGTCCTATTTTTTTTTTTTTTTGTTTTTGCTTTTGTTTTCGATTGGCAAAAAAAAAGAGTGCAAGAAAAGGAATATAACGTTTGGTGGAAGATTAAAAGATGCCAAGACGACCCTTCAAGCGTCTACAGGACCAACCCGATGACATTGATACGAGTTTAAATGAAATCGAGATGACTGAACCCAACAACCATCACCGTAGTCATGGTTATGGACATGCGACTGGAGGTGGTCCAGTGGCTTCGCCTATTTCAGATAGAGCTAGCACTTCTTCTGGAAGACCTGCTCATGAAGCACAGCCTCGGAGATCGATGCATCAAGTCGATTTGGAATTGGAGTGGCCTATGGTCGATATCCCTCAAGAGCTTCGTGAAATGCAGACTGGAAATGATGATTCAAATACCCGCTCAAACTCACAAGCCAATGCGATCAGGGTAATGTTTTTCTTTATTCTTCTTTTTTACTGCCACTTCATTTTTATTTGAAAAGTTAACAGATTCACACATATCTGACTATGTACTCATTCTTCTCCTTTTTTTTTCTCTCTTTTTTTTTTTGCTGACAAAACCACTTGTTTGATCTGATCAGAGTGCTTTCAAGAGAAAGCTTTTTCTCCTGTTAGAAGATCCTTCCTCTGGCAGTTCTGCATTTGCTCTCAATGTCTGGGTCTCGTTTGTCATCGTTCTCAGTACCATCATCACTACTATTGAAACCATTCCTTCCTTTCGATCCACTGATTCAACTATCTGGTAAGCTGTCCAAGACATAATCTGTAACAAGTCCGAAGGAAGCACCTTTCCACTGCAATCATCATTACTACAGGAAGAATGACTAATGAGATCGGAGTGTCTTTTTTTTTTTTTTTTTTTTTTTTTTTTTTTAGGTTCGAATTCGAGACCGTTTTGGTCGCATTTTTCACTATTGAGTTTATTGCCCGTATCATCGCTCATTCTGATTCTATCAAACAACTCAAACGATTCCTCCTTTGTACGTTCTCACACCATACGTCAACACGCGCCTTTTTACTTTTACATTTCAAGAGCAATATGACAGCTTCATACCAGCTCACTAACGCCTATTGATCTCGTTTCTTGTAGCTCCTCTCGCCATCATTGATATCCTTTCCATTATGCCTTACTACATTGAACTGGCTCTCACACGGGACACGGTATGGATTGCATTGAGGAACTCTAGATCTAGCCATTGCCCTTTACGCTTTATATTTAATAATTGGGACTAATGTATTATCATTTTAATTTTATGGCTTCGATCATGGGTATAACAGACTGTTTTCTTCCGATTCACCATCTTGAGGCTCTTCCGTCTGCTTCGAGTCTTCCGTACATTTAAATATTCTTCGACCATTGTTATGACAATTGAAGTCATGATTGTTGCTATCAAGAGAAGTATGGACGCACTTAGCGCCCTATTCTTTTTCTTGATTACTGGCACCATGCTCTTTTCAACACTGCTTTATTTTACTGAGCGTGGTAAGTTTAATGATCATTATAGAAATGAAGTTCTAGTATGACAGTGATATAATGCCCCTCTCTTCCCATCCCCTAATAATTTCCTTGTTTCTTCTCTTTCATCTTTCATCTTCCCTCTTTCTTCTAGGCGAATGGGATGAAGCACGACAGGTGTTTGTGGATGCCAACAACAACCCTAGTACTTTTGACAGTATCCCTGCAGCGTTCTGGTATGTCATGGTGACGATCACAACTACAGGATATGGTGACATGGTACCTACAACGTTTTTGGGCAAACTGATTTCATTCCCAGCCATGATGTGCGGTGTCTTGTTGATCACCTTGCCATCCATCATTATCGGCCGCAATTTTACTCTTGTCTGGGAGACTATGCAGCGGTACAAGCGAATAGCAGAGGCAAACAGTCGTGCAACAACAGACGATACGCCTAGTGAAGGTAACTGGAAATGCAGCTTTAATACGCTATCTCTTTTTCATTATAACTATGCTCTTTTATATATATATATTGACGCACGCTTTTTTTTTTTTTTTCTTTTTTTTTTTTTTTTTTTAGGCGTAAGGGAAAGCTTTGAAAGCAGCCATTCTTACCAATTCAATGTATTGCGACCAATGTACTCTTCATTGTCAGCGAACGGATCAATTCCAGGGCAACAGGATATGATGGATCAAATTCAAACGATGACGCAGGTCTTGAAGCAGAATCAGCAAACAATGAACGCGCTACAAAAGATTTTGGAGACTCATGACTTGGTACCCAAAAAATCACCCTTTTCGGATAGCAACACTGTTCTGTAAGCTCCTTTATTAATAGTCTATTAATTTGCTCCGCAAAAAAAAACGCTGTTGCTTCTTATTACTTATCATAGACATTATGTTTTGTTTTCGTTATTAGACAATACAAATAAAAAAAATAAAATAAAATAAAAAAAGAAATACTGTAATAGGATAAAATAAAGAGATAAAAATAACAATTGATAAGTGAAAACAAGTATGCAACTTACTTTGATTTTTATTTTTATTTTATATCTTAGTTTTATGTCCTATTTTTATTTTTATTTAAAATCTGTTTTTAATTTTTAATTTTTTATTTTTGTTTTTCTTTATTTTGTTTTCACTTTTACTTTCTATTTTATTTTATTTTATTTTATTTTATTTTATTCTATTTTATTTTATTTTATTTTATTTTATTTTATTTTATTTTATTTTATTTTATTTTATTTTATTTTATTTTATTTTATTTTATTTTACTGTGCTCTTTCATACTTTCTTATCAAATTGCAGCTTGATTGATATAGATTATATAGCCCCCTTCTTCCCTCTCCCTTTCCTCCTCCTCCTCCTCCTCCTCCTCCTCCTCCTCCTCCTCCTCCTCATGCTCTCTTAATTAGCAGCTTCCGCTAGTAACAGTGCTGCCCTGACAGAACAGAAAGTCACCCTTGCCATTGGAAGCGTTAATTCGCATCTCAACGGGGACCTATTTTAATTAAAAAAAAAAAAAAAAAAAAAAGGTTGCTGGTAGAAAACGTGGGGATATTATTACACAGTAGCGTATATTTCATCTCAGTCTGCAAAGAGACAGTGCAAAAAGGAAATACTCGGCAACTACCTTTATAAGCTAAAAGTCACCAGGATGTTGTGGGACAGTGCAACTTATTTTACAGGCTGATGGTATGACCTTATCGGATGACCATAGAAACCAAAAGCACTAAAGCCCCTATGATACCGATTGGGGTTGCTCTCCAAGACCAAAACCATGAATGAATGCATGCGGCTGTTTTGGTTAGTAATGATCGTTATCACTAAGTTTCATCCTTACCTGGCGTCTGCATTCACACCGATCACGAATACACATCTATCAAAATGCCAGACATAGAACATAGAGTTATTACATTTGGATCTGTGCCCTTATATTTATTTTCGGTGTCCGTTACGCTACTGTTTCCAAGCTCCGTATATCCTGATCTAAAGGTGTCCGAGCTCTTACTCGAGAGACATTTGTATTTATTCTTTAGAAGTTGGTGCGGTTGGTAGGTGTAAATTTATTAAGAGCCTTTGTAGTTTTCGTTTTGCTGGACCCCTTGAATTGGCTTTAGCTTTGGCTTCGGAAGACTTTGGTTGGAGCAGCTGCTGTCGTTTTTTTTTTTTTTTTTTTTTTTTTTTTTTGGATCCAGCCTTTGAGTTCATTCTTCGAGGTCAGGGTAGCAAACAAGGCACACAGGAAGCAATACATATGTTCGTAAGCTGCATACTTACTTGACGACACCGATGGGAGTTGGATCCTGTATTGCGCCTGGGTTGGATTGCCAAGGGAGATATTGTTTGTGGGGGCAATGGAAGTCAGTGAGGGTAGTTGAGGTTGGTTGAGGGCAAGGAGAAAAAGAAAAGAAAAGAAAAGATGAGAGAGGAAAAAAAAAAAAAAAAAAAAAAGTCCTTTATTCAGCGGGTCTATTTTGTTTTTCAAATGTTCACATATGCAAATAGCATGAATGCTTGCTTCTCTGTGGTGCATACATGCTCTGGAATGTGCACGGGCATGGCCTTTTTACCAACGTTGATGTTTTTTAAGATGCTCTACCCCATTTGGCCGTAACTGTTGTTCTGTTATCCCTGGGCTTAATCTTTTATTTCAACAGCCAGATGACCACATGGAATTCAAGCTAGTAACAATGTGCATATCCACTCCTCTTTCTTTCTTCTTTCTATCTCTTCCCATGGTTATTTTGTGGCCTTTTTGTTGACACTAATAACATCGCTATTCTTCGTCGATAAGAGTTTCATTGACTCTTTTATCTTCTTCTCGTTCATTACCCGATCGTTCCTCCATCAAATGTTTTGGACAGACCAAAAAGCAAATGCTCATGTGTCCCTGTGCAGCAGCAATAAAAACTGGCCAATAGGATGCAGACATTTTATCGACCTTTTGGAATTCACACGACTTGACTTTCTTTGATAGACAAGCGAGATGAGATAGAGAGATAGCAAAATAGAGAGGGAAGGATATGTGAACATGGTAAAAGTGTTCAAATAAAGAAATAGAGCAAAGGTAATCAGAGCACTGGAGGGTATATCGGTAGGAGCTTAATATGAGTATTTATATATATATATATATATACATGGGATACAAGGTTATAATGAATTTTTAGGGAGGATGCGTTGTATGAATAACGTAAATGTGGCTGTGTTGCTTTTGTTTACGCGTTTAATCTTTTATCGGAAATAATGACCAAATTGTTTACTAGCGAGAAATTCTCCTGGAAATAAAGCTCAGAAATTAAAAAAAGAGTGGCTTGTAGAATGAATTTGTGTATTTGTGTTGATGTTTGCAAAAAAAAAAAAAATGCCCTGATAGACAGTCTCCTTCTGGACTTGAGGTGGTTTATGGTCCTGTGTTTGTTGTTTGTTTAAGCTTGGTGTTTACCTCTAGTATTCTATTCAAAAGACTCCTTTTCATTTGCTACGCTTTTTCATACACAACGCATTCCCACCTATACATCTATAATTTCACATCCATAGACTCAATCCCTCTATAATGTCCACTCATTTTGAATTGGACGGTTTGGAGGTGAGCTCAACCTGCATTTGTTCTTATTTATCCAGGAGCACCAAGCTTTGTGGAGAACAGCAACAAACTAACAGGACAAGCAAAATGTTTATTATTATTATTATTTTTTTGTTCTAATTGGGATATTTTATCATATTATGGCGCGCGATGAATATAACAGGAAAGGATTAAGGAGCATGGAAGCTCTTTTGATAGCTTGCTCAAGCTGATCCCTGCACAGTATTATATCACAAAGGAACTTTCAGAAGAGGAACAGGTATGAGCATAGTTCTTTTTCTTTTTCTTTTTCTTTTTTCTTCGATCTTATGACCATACTGCTTTCATCAGCTAATATACAATGCTCATCATGCCTTTTTTATCTAGAACTCAAAATATCAGCACAACAAGAAGAGGAATGCTCCAAAGCAGGAGATCAAGGAACGAACAAAGAAGGCAAAGAAGGCCAAGGTATGTTCCTTGTTCCCCACCTTTGCTTTTGTCGACATTTTTTTTTTTTTTTTCTCATTCAACCCGATACTTTTCTTGTCGTCATATGATCTGGAAGAACATGCGCGGTTAATCAGTTGTGCAAGGAAATCAACTTAGAAGAGAAAAAAAAAAAAAAAAAAAAAAAAAGCAATGACGATCTATACTCTATTTCTTTACTCCTTCAATAACTGACATATATATCACTCCATTTTAACCGGATATTTGGTATTGAAAAAACATTGATTCAGCTTGACCCTGAAAACAACAAATCAGTAACCGAGATCCAGTCCGAGATGATCACCAAAGCCAACAACAGCATTGATGATGACAGTGACAACAGTGACGATGATGACAATGAAGAAGCCGATGACAGTGATGTGGAAATGGATGGTCCTGAAAACAACGACATTATCGAGGATGATAGTGAGGCACCCGTCATTGCTAAATCATCAACACACAATTTTGATGGCCTCTTGGCTCAAGTCCAGACCGCAGCCCAGACCCCGGCACAACCCCTCAAGTCAATTACGGAATTACGTGCAAAGCTTGAAGAGCGTCTTGCCAAGCTTCGTGGACGCCGTGGTGCTAATGCTGAGGCGAACGGCGCTGGAGCGAAACCTACATCCAGACAGGCGATCCTGGAAGCCCGTTTGAAGAGGAAAAAGGATAAGAAGGCATCACAGAAATTGGCCAAGGAGAAGAGAGCCGCTGGCGGATCAGAAGGATTGGTTGTGAAAGAGCCTGCTGCCTCATCATCAACAAATGCTGGCCGACCTTCAGCATCATCCATTAATGATAAGGGTGAAGTCCGATTCAGCAAATTTGAATTTGCCGGTCTCCAAAAGAAGAAGAAGGGACCCACTGACGCACAAGGACAGCTCAAGATGGTAAGATACTGCAACAATTAGATATTTAATCCTTGTTAAACCCGTCTATAGAGTTTTTTTTTTTTTTTTTTTTTGCTCTTTTATATTCTTTTATCGTTTTCGTTTACTGACGGTTGTCTCTGTTATCGCACATACTTGCGCGCTATATATATATATATATATATATTCCTCTCTTTATCTAGGTTGAGGCTCATAAAGAAAAGTTAGCAGCGCTGGAGGCAGCCAATCCCGAAAAAGCCAATGCTATGAAGGAAAAGGACACTTGGAAGAAGGCACTTCAGTTGGCACAGGGTGAGAAGGTTAAGGATGATGTCAAGCTACTGAAGAAGACGATTAAACGCGAAGAAGTCTTTAAGAAGAAGAGTGCGAAGGAATGGGGTGAGCGCAAGGCAACTGTCAAGAAGACCAAGGATCAGAAACAGAAGAAACGTGAGGAGAATATTAAGGCACGCATTGACGCAGCCAAGAACAAGGGCAAGAAGGGTAGTAAAGGAGCACCTAAAGGTGGCAAAGGCAACAAGAATGGCAAACCAAAAGCGGTATGTGCTATGCTATGATTCGAAAGTTATTGATCTATTAAACATGGATTTTTTTTTTTTTTCTTGAGTTAATCAAGCTTTCTATCGCTAACGTCGCTTCTCTTTCTTTCTTTTTTTTTTTTTTTTTTTTTTGGTCTATCAGCGTGCCGGCTTTGAAGGAAAGAACGCCAAAAAATCATCGAAACCATCCAAGAAATAATAAATAAAACTATTGCATTGTATTTTCATTATTAAATTTTTTATTTTTTATTTATTTATTTATTAACTTATTTATTTAACCTGTGTCTCACGACCTCTTTCATGAATATATGCAGCTTTTAATGAATGCTTTTTCTCTTCTTCTTTGTCTTTTTGGTTATACCGAGTGGATGAATGGGATTAGATCTGTCTATCAGAAGCGATGCCCTTTCTATTCATCAATACATAATAAAAAATAAAAAAAAAAAGGTGATGAGATTACGCATATTGATATATAGGTAGTAAACATGCCTATGACATTTTTTTATCTTTTCTTATTTTTAATCAGACAAAAAAAAAAAACTTACAGAAGAGATAATACCAACGACGGATTTGAGGCCAAATTCTGCGATCTGTAATACTTCATTTGTTGCCTTTCCTAACGTTGCAGCATCCTCAAAACGGCGATCCAGGAATTTCTGAGTAGCCTCGTAGTTGGGTGTCTTATCTGTCGTCATGTACAGCTCTGTTGTTGTGTAGATTCCAGCAAGAGATGCTCTCTTGGTGTACCAGTTCATCTTTTTTTTTTTTTTTTTTTTTTTCAGTTGGTTAAAACGATTAATTAGAAAAAAAAAAAGAAAAAAGTCAACACTCAAGATAGGATGATAGAATACAATCAGATAAAGTCAAGGTAACTCTGTGAAAATCCTTTTTTTTTACATCTGCACTTTTGTCACCAGCAAGATGCCAGATTTCATCGACAATTTTTCCTAAATGAGTCAGGGACATAGAGATGTTGCTGGGCTGACCCATGATAGCTAAGGCTTCATGCCAACGGTCAATATAGGGAGCGATCATTCCAAGTCTTGTCAGCGTCCCCAATTTTATCTTTTCCTGCGTTCCCAATCTATAGGAACAAAGAAGAAGAAAAAAAAAAAAATAAAGAGAAAGAGTCGTTTAATAAGACGACGAAAAAGGGTTGAAATATGAAATGGTATTTCGATTTTTTTTTTTTTTCTTTACCCTTCCATTCTACCCTCCAGCTCAAGAGGAAGACGATTGAGGCAGTCCTCCAAGAAATAGTTAATCAAATCTGCACCTCCGTTAGGGAACATGCCATGGACAATAGCAGGATAACCCAAGGATTCTGCAGCCTTGGTGATAGAGGTAGTTGTCCAACCATACTCTGGCACAAATGTCAAAGCCTTCTTAAGAATTGCCTCTGGGTTTCTCTTGGCATTAAAAGCTGTAGTATTATCCTGTGAGCCTTGGCTGTGATGGCTGCTGGGGGTATTTGTCTCAACTGAGCGCCAAGAGACTGAGGCAGAGAAAGAGCGTCGGGGTGCAATGGCTGTTGAAGAAACCATCCATGTTCTAGTCATGGCATGGCGTGAGAGCAATGTAGTCCCTGCGCGGCGGAGGACGGATGTCATAACGTGTTTTTTGTTTAGTCTTCCTGTGAAAAAAAGTAAGATTCAAAGATATTAAAAAGCCCAAAACTCGAAACAAGCAATGGGAGCCCTGCTGGCCTGTTGGGAAATAGAAGAAAACCCGGATAAACAAAATAGAGACAATGTGCAATTGTGGAAAAAACCACGTGTGCATTTAGAGGGACTATGTATAAAAACCTGTATTCTACTAGTGCATTTTTTTAATTCCCAACAAACTTCATTAGGCCTTTCTCATTTCATTCTCTCTCATCCCAACTACTCTTCTCTTCCTAAAAAAAAATATAGTAATGTGGTCCTCTCGTAAGTCATTCACATTCCTTTTGATTGTCTGCCACCCTTTCAATCCTCTCTACCCTTTCAATGGGAAAATACAAAAGAAACAGTACAAAGGGAACATGAATCTCATTCCCATTTGGTGGGGCATACCATAAAGACACATGAAGACAGAAAGAGAAAGAGAGACAGGAGGATAGAATAAAGCCTGAAGGAATAATCGTCCCTATTGATACCCGACTATCTACTCTTCATGTAGTTCATGTAGGATGATCTAATAACTGCTCTCCTCCTTTTTTTTTTACCCTAGTCTCCAACTTGACTGGGTATGGTCAGAGCTCATCACCCAAACCTGGAGAGATCCCTAATGCTGGTGAGGGTGTCAAGTCGGCCGCTTCGCTTGTCAAGGATGGCAACTACTTCACAGAGCTCACCACCAAAGATCTTGAATGGACTATTGCTGCTACTGCCTCCACAGAAACCCAAACTTTTTACTGTATCACCGATGAGGGTCACTTTGGTCACATTCAGCTGATTCACTCTAATTTGGGGTAATAAAAAATTATTCGTTACGAATATCCCCTTGAAGATTATGACAGCATGAACAACCACAAATGCCTTTAATTTGTTCGATTTAACATAGCAGTGCCAAAACTTATTCTCCCTATTTTCATTTCTTTTATTCTTTCTCTGATATAGTATTTGGGGCGCTCCAGCTTCCGTCCAGATGACGGCCCGTTTCCGTGGCAATGGCATCAACAAGTTCTTCTCGACCAATTTGACCAACTTTACACTTTCGGCTGACAGGCTCTCTGCTTCGACCAACCTGATGTCCATCACTATGTCACCCGACCGCAAAAAGTTTACTGTCCAGGTCACAGACCCTCCTGAGCTCATTGTCTCCCTCACTGTGGAGCGTACGACTAAAGGTTATAAGGTTGGTGAGGGCAAGAGTTTCTTTGGTGATGGTTACGTCTCACACAAGTTCTGGCCGGCTTGCAAGGTCACTGGAATGATGATTGTGAACGGCAATGCCCAAGATATGACAGGAGAATGTACATTTGTGCATGCGATTCAAGGAATGCGTCCTCATTTGGTGGCATCCAAGTGGAGTTATGTGGATTTCTCTGGCAAGGACGCAGTTAATGGTCACAAAGTCAAGCTGTCCTTGGTCCAGTTTACGACCCCTGAATATTATGGAAGTGCTACAGTGACGCAAGGATCGATTGTGCTGGATGGTCAGTTGGTCGGGGTCGCAGTTGAGAATAAGACCGACTTTGTGAAGACAGAGCATGATGAAGAGACTGGATACAACCCACCTACAGAGGTCAACTATGAGTGGCAAGGGAAAACGATTGAGGGCGGTAAGGCATTCAAGGCTGTGTTGAATGTCAAGCCCAAGGGTCTGTGCCAAAAGGTTGATTTATTGGCAGAAATCCCTTGGGCCCTCCGCAAAATTGTATCAACGTTTGTGGCCAAGCCCATCATTTACCAGTGGTACGACGAAGCCACCGCAGTGATCAATATTGGTGATGAAGAATATAGAATATCGGGCAATGTCTATCATGAGGCAACTTTTGTCATGTAACATTGTAACATTAATTAGCTATACCTTTTATATCATTCATTGTTGCCATGGTTTGGCAGTCACATATACTAAATATTTCCAATCTTGAAAATGACAGAGTTTGAATAAACAGCATTGTTAACAACTTTAATAACATACTGAACTTGCACACAGTTTCCATTGATCGAATTCATGACACCAGAAGCCATTCCAGAGAGCGCTAGTCGCCTTCCTCAAACGACTCAAAAGCTACTTGCAGAGTTGACTCGTCTCTCCGCACAGATTGCTCAGGCGCGTACCAGAAACGTGACGCCAGAACAGGATGCTAGAGTAGACATTGGTGAAGATGGCGAGGTAATTGATTTGTAAAAAGGAAGAAAAAAAAAAAATCAATATGGATATATACCAATCGACTTGCTAGATCAGTAATACTATCATGGGCGAACAATATTATTCAAGGAGACAGGAGGGCAATCTCTGAAGCATTCCAAAAAAAAATATATATATATATATACAGTTGAAGCTGATTAGAGAAGCAATCTTCTTTTTTTTTTTTTTTTTTTTTTTCCTTTATCTTATCATTCTTACTTTGTCATGAATCGGGGGGAAACAATAATAGCCAGTATCAAGGCTGGGTCCAGAGTTACAAAAAACGATCAACGCAGCTGTGCACGCAGGAGGTCGGCTGGTCATGTCTCTGAAGGTGCTCAACCGTGAAGTCCACCACCAGGAACGTAACCTTCGCAATGATCTCGCAGAACAAAAACTGAGTATCGGTAAAATCGATCTTGGATACCAGAATATTAACTATCAACGAAAATACCTCAAGAATGAAATTGCACGCTGTCATGATATGGAGTACGATCATACTTGTTGTTGATTTTGCTTTTTTTACATTCATTGTATTTCTTTAAAAAAAAAAAAAAAAAAAAAAAAAAAAAAAGTTGGTGTGATATAACGCACTCATCGTCTTTTTCCCTTTTCCCTTTTCCCTTTTCCTTTTTTGAACAGAACATTTTATCAGGATGTACCATTAGTATCACTAGAAGAATTCAGGAATACTGCACCAGAACATCTCATCACCAGCGCTACAGATGACCATCAACTCATGTTAAATCGCCTTCAATTCGAACTCGATGAACGGAAACGATATGATGCAGAGAAAAGACGTCTTTTGGCTGTCAAAGTTCAACTTAAAAAAGCTAATAAGGCTCGCGGCTTACAGATTAAGAAGGTGGAAGAAAAACTGAAAGAATATATTAAATCCAGTCAGTCATTGGAACCACTTTTCCAAGAACCGATCGTCCCTATCCTTACAAGGGACGAGATCTTGACAGCCACCACATCGTCTACACTTACGCCCTCTGGATCTGAACCAGCAAACAATCTCACAGTACCGGCATCAGCAACAGCAACAACGACAACGACAAGCACAACAACAACAGACTTGTCATCTAATGAAGAATCTATATTATCCTCTTCAGCCATGGAGATTGAACCTCCTCAATTAAAACCTCTATAAAGCAAATGTGCTGTTGCATATTACACCTCTTGAATGGCCTATATGATCCGCATACTGTATGCGATTGACAACTCGGAACTTGGCATTGAAGGCTATAATTTAGATCTGTCTTTTATAAATGAGATCTGTCCACTTTTTTTTTTTTTTTTTCATAATTTTTTAGTGTTTCCCATTTCACAGACTGCTATGTTTCATTCATTTAATAATGAATATGACGGGAGGGCGAGTAAGAGAGAATCTCGGAACACTCTGTATGTCGAGAGGTCCAAATGTGAAGATTCGCTCAATAGCTCAATAGTAACTAGAGATAACAATAGCAACGGCAATAGAAAAGAAATCAATATTTATTGGTCCAGGCATCGTTCTCGATTTGCAATTTATTTTGTATGCTTCCTATGCTTCCTATGTTTTCCCTTTCTTCCAAAAAAAAAAAAAAAAAAAAAAAAAAGGCGCAGCCTTTTATTTTTGAGTGTCGAGGAGCGCCACAATCCAGAATATCGTAGTAAAACGAATAACTTTGTTGATAATAAACCATCTTTTTCTTTTCCTTGTAAGCACTTCAGATATTAGCTTTATTGTCTCTTTCTAAACGCAAAAGCGAGATAAATGTCTAAAGTAAAAGATAAATAACAGAGGAGAGAGATGACGAAATAACATTTAAAAACTAGTTAGATAAAATGATAAAGTTAAAGAAAAAAAAGTTTACTTACTCGCTGCTTCCCATTCGTCTGCAGAAAGATGTCCATCCTCCGAGATAACGTTCATCCTGTACAATAGTTGATTAAAGTCTAGTTCCTGGGATGCCTCCTCATAGACTTGGTGAAACTTTTTATTATAAATCAATTCCAGTCCATATTCTTCTGCCAGGGATTGAAATGTTGGGAAATGAACGAGGTATTCTGGACAATCATCAATAGCATCCTCGAGATGGAACCAGTATTTGGCTCCAAACTTTTCAAAACTGTCTCGGCGTTCAAATCTGATTGAATAGATCGAGTTCCCGATCTGAAGGCCCTCATCGGATTCGGACTTGAGTTTTTTGCTTAAATAAATATATTTAACAAATAAAAAAAAAAAAAAAAAAAAAAAAAAAAAAAGGATAAAACTAGATATTAGTCAAGGGCTAAGAGATTCAAACATATTTTGGAGATACAAAATCTGCTCCTACACAATCCAATATGCATCCGGTATTGTTCCAATAAAAACGCCCCCAGGCTTGAGTTGCGATGTAACATTGTGAAGCATCATCCTAGCCTTGGCCTCGGTCTCGAATGAATAATGTAAACAGAATTGCATCGATACCATATCAAATACAATGTCTGGCGATACTACCTTTGAGATTGGCTCCTGTTTTCAGCAAAAAAAAAAAAAAAAAAAAAAAAGATGCTGTAGTGCGGATAGCCGAATTTTAAAAAAAGGAAAAAAAAAATATATATATATATAATGTTCCTGATTTAATTTCAGTAATGACATACAGAGTAGCAATCCATGGCATGGAAATGCGCCTCGAAAGGTGGGTTCCGCATAGTTCTGTATCGCTCTTGTGCTTGCTCGATCGACTTTGATGCAATATCTGCAACATCCAAAGTCGTATTTTTTTTTTTTAAGAAAAAAAAAAAAGAGAATAAAGAGGAATTGAAAACAGAAACAGTCAGTATCAACGCTTCGGCCTTCAATGCTCCTTGACCGCTTCCCCTATACGCGCTCTTACCACATCCAACAAAATACTGGATCTTGGCCTTTGACCACTTGAGCAGATCTCCTCCTTTACCGACGCCCACGTCCAAGACCTTATCTCTAGGCCGTGCATATCTTCCGATCAAGACTGATTTCAGCCAGTTATTGAAACTTTTAAGTCGAAATATCGTTGATTCCTTACGCTTTTCAACACCCACGTCTGGTCGAGCATTATAATGCTCTGCGACTTGTTTATGAACATTGGGCTCAGTGCTTTTGGTATCATGGCCAGGTGAGCGTGCGCGCTTATTACTCCCAGAGTCTGCTCTCGATGACTCTTCAGTTGAAGGAGAACGAGCACGTTTTGTGGGGTTAGACGTTTGCTCTTGCTCTCGTCCCTGTCGTGGCTGCTCCTGGTCCTTTGTTGATGCTGATTGAGCTTCCGAATCTTGCTTCAAGGATGAATGCGTTTCGACAGTTGGTTCATTTACTACAGTTTGTTCAGACATGGTCTTTGATGGTTTTTATGATTAAGAATAAAAAAAGAGAAAAGCATCATTCTTCAACTTGTTTCTAGAAAACAGTCACTACGAAACAATTGCATAGAAAAGCGCGTAAAAATCTCGTGCCTAAACTTGAAAACTAGAAAAGTTTAGAATGATCGGATTGAAGGTGGAGCCATTGATAATCAAGGTTGCTTCAATGGTCTAGGCGGTGGAAAGTTGACTGACATCTTCCTCCATCCATAAATCAAGGAATAAAAAAGTATTTTTATCTTTTTTATTTTTCTCAGACGTTTCTAAACCATATTATTGTTTTAGTAAGACCAAAAAAAAAAAAAAAAAACCCCTGGCTTAACCTCTAGCAAGCGAGCATTGCTCCAATGCCTTCCTCATAACCTTCTTTGAAACGATGTTTCTGGCATCCTCATATGAAAACTAGGTGTAGTGAAGCAGAAATTAGGGGAAATTAAGGAAATTAGGGATCCAGTCGATCATTGTAAACTATAAATTTTGTATCGTTTTTGCAAACAAACAAACAAAATAAACTTACCCAGCGACGCTCGCGCTTTTTCATCTCAGGCCAGCGTTCCTCTATCCTCTCAACCTCCATTTCAAAGAAGATGAAGATGTTCTCTGGAACCCCTGTACGTTTGTTGATTTTATGCTCAAATTCACCCAGATGGGCTACAATCCTACCAATGGCACCGGCTGTTGAACAAGTACCAATTATGTCATAAAAAAAAGCAAACCCAGTATTAGCCCAACTCTTGTCTTCAGTGAGGAAAGAGCGAAACAGGATTCGTTTTACATACCTTCTTCCCAAGTCTCACGCGCAGCAGCCTCTTCCTGTGTTTCGTCGTTCTCCCAGCCACCCTTTGGTAATACCCACTCGCCCTCATTCTTACTGCTGGCAACTAACAATACACGGCGTCCTTTTTTATCGACTGGAACACATCCTGCGACCTTAAAAGATAAAAAAGGAAAAAAAGAAAAAAAAGGGAAAACAAAAGACCTTTTGCGCTGAATATCCGGCTGATTACAATGCAACAATCGATTCTATTCGGCTGTAGATAATGATTTTTTTTTTTTTTTATTGATACAATAAACTTTTTTTTTTTTTTTTTACTTACAAGACGAGCTCCATTGTCGTACAATTGGTTTTGGCGACCTTGCCTAGCATGTGAACTCTGCATGGTGGTAACAGTGGTATAACTTGAAAGTTGCTGTTGCTGATTGAGACAGAATGGTTTGAGGTAAAACTGCTGGTTAGGAATGAGGTTGCTGCAGATGGGGAGTCTGATGGAGGAGAAGAGAAGTAAGAAGACAAGGAGCGACGCCAGGGGCATGAGAGACATTATATAGCCCGTTTCATTTGGTCGCGATACCTTATATTTTTTGAATACTTTCGAGTGTATTGGCAGCCAATTAGCTCGCTTGTTACGAGTATTGTTGCAAGTCCGTCACGTAGTGAGATGCCACCAGAACAATTCAATCATCGTTTTTAGATTAAAAATATAAGGTATCGTGACCAAATAAAATTGGCGATATTTTATTTTATTTTATTTTTATAGACAGAAGGATGGGAAACACACCAAATGAATATACACATTACACACACACACTAAATAGGCCGTAACAAATCCTTTCATCACTTTTCAAGCTTCGAGATAACACGTTAGCCAAAATACGAGTAATATCAAAGAAAAACACAATAAGGAACTCGAGGTCTATTGAGATCTAGCTTGTCCAACAAGGGGAAGCATATTATGACCTTGTTAGAAAAAGTTCATATACATCCGAACATGTTTATTTTTTTTTTTAGCCGATACCGGAATTTATTTTGCCTATCTTCAAGCGCTAAATTAGCTGAAGTGGATATGCATGGATGGTTTTGGCTGACATTGAGTCACACCATTGGCGAATATTTTGAGTGCCTGTAATCTTTTTTTTTTTAACCCATCTTGCAGACATGAAATGCTAAACTATTACTCTACTTTCAACTCATGTTCACCATTCAACCATTCCAGCAAACTCAGTCTAATTCACCATACAGCAGAGAACCATTGACCCAATGACAGACCAAAACAAGCCAATCCGGTCGTATCGCCTTGGAAATAAAACAATCGTTTCAAGTCAGTTCAAAAGCCAGCGTCCTATCAAGGTGAAGGGCTTCACAAGTCTTCGGTCCTACTGGGAATCGATAGCTGCCAAAGGCGGTGAGACCCCTCTTTCTACTCGACAAACTCAAGAGCATCCAAGGAGTCAAACAATCAGCTCCCCTTCGGCTTCAACTCCTTCAGTCCCTTCAACATCTTTAACTCCTTCAATATCCTTTTCTCCCTCCACATCTTTAAATTCTCCAAGGTCTCCAATCTCTTCGACTCCTTCAGCTCCTCTCGACGATGATGTCTTGATTGCTAACGAACAGGACTATGAAGCCTCTGAAACGACCCCTACTGGCGAGGATGAAGGTCACTCCAGCGACCAAGGCAAGGTTGTAAAGAAGCGAAAGCTTCGTGGGAAATATCAAAAATATACAACACAGCAGTTGAATAACATGATTGCTCATAGGCTTAATAATCACAAGTCCATTTCCGAAGCTGCAAGGTTGGAAGGAGTCTCCATTCGGACAGCCTCCACCATTTTCAGCAAATTCCTTCAGGATCCTGAGGGCCGTATTCCTACAAAGGCAACTCATAGGAAGCGAGGCCGTAAGCCAAAGCTGGATCCAGAACACATAAAGTTTATAGTCGAGTCTATCGAGAAGCAACCTCAGCTATCTGTGTGTGAAGTATGGGAGGCATTACACAACCATTTTGATGGCCTTGACATCTCCAAAACAACCATCCTGAAACACATGCACGAGCAGTACAGATTCACCTTCCAGTGGGTCAAAAGCCAAATCGAAAGCTCTCCAATTGACTCTGAAATCCTTGAAGAGAGGATGAATTGGGCTACGGAGTGGCAAGCACGCGCTGAGGAATTTAGATCCCATACAGTGTTTGTAGATGAAACATGGTTCAGTCACCAAAAAAATCGTGGATACGGTTGGTCTCGCAAAAGAGAGCCAGCGTCAGTCAAACCTACCAACAAAGGATTCATCATTACAGTCATGGGTGCCATTAGTGCTATGGGCGTCCTTGGCCTCTATGTCAAGATACCACAAGTATCCCAGGCACCGCCGGTTTCTAACGCACCCGCTCCTGTTGATGGAGATATAGTAAACTTGAAGAACTTTAAGCAATTTCTTGCTGAGCTGATGGACAAGATGGATAGCATGGATATGCAAGGCTATAATATTGTTCTTGACCCCGAACATGTCCACAAAATTAACGAAATTAAGGACATGGCCACTGACCGTGGCTACAAGCTCGTTTACTTACCACGCTGTTCATCATTCTTAAACCCGATCGAGAGATTCTGGTCCAAGCTAGAGACATGCTATGATCGAAGCGTAGCTGGTGAAGAGAGTGTAGTATCTCGAGTGGACATGGCTTCACGTCACGTTACTGTGGAAGACCTAGGTGCCTGGGTTGATCATTCAATATGCTTGTTCCCTAAATGTATAAACAGGGAGCTGCACCCGCAATGCACCTGCCTGAAATAAAGCAACCAATTTTGAATGAACGGGCTTGCTGTTATTAAAAAAAAAACTGATACAAGCAAAATTAACTTTGCACAATTCTGTCTGGTTTTTTTAACACTCTTGAATCTCTTATTTTCATCCTTTGTTTATTAAGCCTTCCTTTTGTGAAGGTAGAGATGATTGTGTCTAATAAAGAGAATATATGACACGTTGTATCCGTTCTATTAAATCTACGGTCTGCACAAATTAAAATCTTACCATTTTATTAAAGTATCTTGAAGGTTAAAAAAACAAAGAACATCCACTTGACGTGATACTTCAGGATATTAAATAGAACAGTCTTTCCCCCCCTTATAGACCAAACTGTCTCCAGTGAAGATATCAATGAATGGTAGGCGGCAAAATATAACTTGACGTGCCTTTTTTGACATTCGTTTGTTATATCCTTCCTTTCCTCATGGAAATATCTAATGATCTTTGTCTCAGTGGAGTCCTCACTAAAAAGTCTTAAACAAATAAATTTAATTGCCCACCTGTGTCCGCTAAGATGGACACAGGTAGGCCCGTCACCAGAAGTGTCTGCAATAGCAAGCTACGTTTGCTTTCCAGCACGTGCATGTGCACATGAACTTCGTCCTCAGGCTGGTGACGAGCCTAGAACCTATCTAGGATAGGACACAGGCGGACACAGCGGACACAGCGGACACAGCGGACACCAAGCCACGATTTTAATATTTGGCATCACAAATCTTTTTTCACAAAATGGATTGTGAGGCCAAATAGGACAGAATCTTTATTTAAGAGTGACAGGGAAAAACTGCTATAATTCTACGAGAATGTTAGTAATAGTGCTAATGGCTGAATATGATAGCATTTATATTGATAAAGTATTTATTTTGATGAAGTATTCAAATTCTTTCTGCTATTTTAGAACAAAGGGCCCGAACGTGTTGGTAACCGAATTAATAGTGATCACTCAAAAATGCTTTGATGCCGCTTTGATGGTGATTCGTCTTGTAAATAATATTGATGGTAATGCTTTTTTTGGATGATAGATACTTATGCTAAACACCTTAGGAGATCACAAATTTCACGACAATGGATTGTTTGTACACTGAACTGCAAAAGTAAAGTTAGCGATACTGAGGCTACAGTATAAAGCCAATAATTTATTGCTGAGGAAGCCTAACTAAAACTACGGAGATGGCTGCTTATATTATGTAGTTCCTTTGCAAGGAACAATCAAGAAACACAATCGAAAAGCATGGTGGTGAACCTTTTTTTGTTGGATGTCAGCAAGCTCAACAGGAGTTCCTGTGCTTCTCATCAACACAGAATTTTTACAGATAAAACAAGAAATAGAGGCCTAATAACGCTAGGTAAGTTGCTAAGCAAATCATGAGGGTGTTCCTTAGCAGCTAGGCTGCCACTTAGAAAAATCCAAAAAAAAAAAATAGTGATGAAGTAAAATGTATCGCCCAATGTGGGGGTCGAACCCACAACCTTGAGATTAAGAGTCTCACGCTCTACCGATTGAGCTAACCGGGCTTATCAAGTTCTTTCGATGAAATTTCTGAATTTCTGGATTATTATTAAACTTTAATTAAATTATCCACGTGACCGGGAACATTGGGCCTATTAAGGGTATCAAAAAAAAAAAAAAAAAAAAAAAACTGAGTATCAACCTTGACGAGCTGAGGGTCCTTGTTATCAAAAAAAAAAAAAGAAAATCTACGCGCTCTGTTAGCCACATTTATTAGAACCATACCATCAGATGGCAAGCACGGTATCTCCTTCTGTCGCAACGATTAAGGGAACGGTATCCTCAAGACTAATCAAAAATAACTCAGCAACGTTGACGACCAGGAAGACGAGGATAGGAAAAAAAATAAACTAAAAGGATGGTTGCTTTCGTGAGTCATTCCATACGCTCTTTTAGCCCAATGACACTAAGATTCTTTGCTTGGAGTACGCTTTTCGTTTACTAGAATGCTTTACACCAGCTGGGGCAGCTAATTTCATTTAAGCTTCTTATTTTGCTATTAAAAATAATTCAACAATGCTTGGGACTTTTTTGAATTTAATAAAAACGACCCAGATGATGGTTGCCTTATTTTTATGACAAAATAGAGTGGTTATTTGCATGCATGCATTGGACAATCAGCGGCTCAAATAGCAAAAAATGGGCCCGCAAATGACCCTCCTCCATAATCAAGTAGTTTTGCTACAGTCCACAGCAAAAATAAAAGAGAAAGGATCTCCACATGAGGTGAATAAGTCTGATGTAAAAGGGGACATAATACTTTTCAATGACAATCCCAAATAGCCCGATACAAACACATTCCTTGAGCAGCTAAAAGAGTATTTTGTACTAGGCTTTGGCAAAGGTTGCATCCGTTAGCTTTTATAGGAGGCTCGCAACATTAGTGAAGAGCTTCTGAAGGAAAGGTTCAATAGGCTAGTCATCTTTGCCTCTATCGCCGACTTTACAAAGCTCTGTATCAGCTTCATGGGATTTTTCGAGATATTTCTCTTGCTTGTCAGAATCAAAGCCAGATATGGAACCAATGCTATAGTCTTTTATGGAACCAAAGCGATTTGGCGATTTAGTAGAGAGCCATTCATACCAAACCAAGCCAGACAGGAGCGCTCAAAGGGGGGCAAGCACAGCTTAAGCTCTATACATCGTTTCCCAAGACGATGCACTAGACATTGGAGACAGCACAGCTCTATCCTTTTACATGTTAGTCACCATGCTTTATTTTTATTATTATTTAGTATAATTTAATGTAAAGTAAAATAATAATAAAATAAAAATAAATACTCGGTCCAAAAGTAAAGAAAAAAATTGCTGATTATTTGTATTCATACCCTGTCTCCAAGTTATCGCGTAGGTCGATACCAAATTCGTGAGGTATGTCCAGTATGAACGGGTTAAAGGCGTTCTCGGACCCTAAACCACATTCTTCAAAGAAACGCGTCTCTTGAGTCCCTACCTCGCCATGACTATAATCTCTATTGCCTTCAAGGACATTATTGCAACATGAATGGTGATGGATATGATGGTACCGATATTGAGTTTCTAGTCCCTGTTCCTGTCCTTGCCCCTGTTCCTGCGCCTGTTCCTGCACCTGTCCTGGTTGGGGCTGATACTGCTGGTCATACACTGGCTCATACTTGCCGTACCAGGGTGTTTCGGAGCAATGAACCATGTCCTCCTTTACTTCATTTTTATAATCGTACTCTTCAACAAAGCTATCTCGAGGCTGTACCAAAAGCCGTAGCGGTGGAGGAGGAGCCATTGTGAGGTAGTCAATGTCTTTTTGTGTCAGCTCTTGTGGGGGTCCACCATCTTCTTCGTCTGGATGAATGACGATTGTAGGGACGATAAATTTCTTTTTTTTAGAAAACTTCTTGCTAAGACGGCTATGCGAAAAGGATGATGCTAGCGAGATTGGGGAATCAGTTCCTCTTTGAGACGACGTCGATGATGGCGAGGTTCGGTTCCGCCAGTACTGGAGCGGCGATGAGACAGTGCTGGATATAGGTCTAGAGGCTGGAGTGGATATGGCTGCGGCTAACGAGGCCGATGTGCTTGTCAAAATGGATGAAAGAAAAGGCAATGCTGATGTAGTGGGAGGTGCTGGCACTGAATGTGGCCGCCATGTCTGTCCTTGTGATAATGATAATGGCTGCATCATGGGTGTTTTTGGTGATGGTGATGGTGATGGTGATGGTGATGGTGATGGTGATGGTGAAGTGAATGATAACGGTAATGCCATTGTTGTGAAAGAGGGAGTCGCGAGCGAAGATTCATCCTCTGATGTATATGTGTCCGCTAAATCGTCTGAAAGAGATGTATGAGGAACTAGGTAGGCATGGCGCTGGGATATTGCGTCAAGGCCGTGTTTGAAGTACAAAGATCCTGAAGATAATGAGGAGAGTGATGGCGAGGAATCTGACATATTGGGCTGCCCCTGCGATGGGTATCCTCTAAGAGTCACTGTCATCTTATGGTCTATTACCTCCTCTAAGCTTGTTCCTGGAGCCGATTCCACTATAATTCGATTAATTTCCAATTCTTCACTGTCAGTGCTGGACGTATTCGAGAGCTCAGATGAAGATGAGTCAGATGAGAGGGCTAGTGACGCTTTCGTACCTATCTCTCTTATTCTTGCGAAACTGGGGGGGCCCTTTACAGAACAATACTGTGGCCCTGTGTTGTCTTCTACTGATAATCCTAGATTCTCTATACGTTGGACAAAGTCCGATGTGGGTTTCCTCTTTGATGGGGCGAGAACACGCTCCCGAGGCTGTTTAAAGATCATCTCAGGAAGTGGCTCTCCAGATGATGCAAAATCGAACACGTAATTATCTTTGTCACTCCCACTGCTGCTACCACTGTCACTGCCAGTACCATGAAAGGCCGAGTTTCCTTTTCTCTTACTGGTGTCGGCATAGCAGTAATAGCTGAAATAAGGATTCGTTGACGCTTTGCTCGACAAGTGACTTGGGTTTGCGATATCGGAGGGGAATTGCTCTGCAGGCGACTGCTTAGGCTTTCCAGTCTGTGAAGGGATTATATATTGGCTGGGCTTCTCTTCGCCTCTGGAGGAGATAACAACCTGAGAAATCCTTTGACCTTTGGAAATGTAAGCTGCGCTACTATCCGTATTGGCTCTCCTTTCAACTTCAGACCGTATTCTCTCTGACATCTCAGGCCATTCAGCGTCGTAGGAATACCGGTGCATAGCAGGTTCCCTTCCTTCCTTATATTTTATTGGCGGCCCTCCATGGCTTGCAATACTGTATCCAGGCTCTGAGATTAAATTGGACGCATTAGTTAAATTGCAGAGTAACCTCCCTTCCGGATCGACGAGAAGTCCTGTCCCCACACCAGAAGCTCCGCCGACGGGAGATATGATGGACTGACGAAAACTGAAGAGATGCTGATTCATCTTAGAGTTATTGCTGGCACTGCATCGACTAGGAGTAGATTCAGTGGAACACGATTGCTTGAGACCATGGGCCTGGGGCTCCATGGGTGACTCGGGCGTGGTGATTAGATGAAATGACAGCAAGCAGACCAATGAAGCACACCAGCCAACCCATTGAAGTCCATAGAGGAGAGGGGCCAGAATCTTTATGGTACTGGATGAACTATTTGCAACTCGCTGGCCAACTACGCCAGCAGTGTTCACGAGCGAAGCGGGCAATGCGATAACACCACAGATGGTCAGGATGTGCGTTAAAGCCAGTATTTGCCAAAGCCCCACCAGGATTGCGTACTTTTTTTTTGTTCAATACCAAAAGGTTAATAATGATAATGATGATGATGATAATAATAATAAAAAATAAACTTGAATACGACAAATGAGAGGGTATCATGGGCTTATATATCCGGTCACTTACGCAGTAAAGATAACCAATGCGCCATTTATGCGCTGCAACAATGCCAGCCACAACGAGAAAGAAGCCTACACCTGCTATGATTGATCCAATCCATGCACCCGAATCAGCCAAGATCGATGTCAACACAAGTAAAAGTGCCTGATTGATAGACGATTAAATAGGTGTATAAAAAGGGTATTGGTTATGTCTTTGTCAATGAAGACGAGAAAAAAAAGAAGAAAGATGGATAACTCACGGCCTGGATCCAGAGTGCGCCTTTCAAGATCTTGGTGAGATTATTTCCCATTGCGCGTAAATGGGTATCCGATGCACTCCTGGGGTTCCACAGGAGGGAGAAAAAAGGCGGAGGTAGTGATCCTATATAACAGGTGTGTAAGGGTAATGAAGGTGGTGTGATTGAATGTGATTGTAGGACAGAGTACTGCAAAGCCGTGTGGATTGCTCGGGTATACGTGATAATGGTGATATAGATGTAAGAGTATGTGATCCTTTTTTTTTTTTACTTTTTTTTAGTAAAAATGGGAAAGGAGTGATCTAAAACAAGCTGTGGCTCATGGAGCTGTGAAATGTTCAGGAAGTGGGATGCTGATCCAGGATGTACGAAGAGGCACAGAAAAGAGGATAAAAGGAAGGCTTGGCTATTCACAAAGCAGGCTTCTTGTATGATGAATGCCCCACTGCTACGTGTAAAAGAGATCAGGATATAAATTGAGCCCATCTTTGTGCGTGCACGCAGAAAAAAGAAAGAGGAAAGAAAGAAGAAAGAAAGAAATGAAAAGAGGCAATAAAGAGAAGAACAAGGAAGCGAAGATATATCGTTGCAGGCGAACGGGGTTGCAAGGAGGGTGTTTAGAATTGACGGGACACCACATAATAGAAAATCTTAAGGACGCTTCAAGCTATGAAATCATGTGCTTACACAGACTGTCACTAATATTTATTTTGTTATCATAGCTGAATCGAGCACAAACAGCAACAAGTCCACTAAAAAAAATCCAAAAATCCAGAATGCAGGGACCCCATACAGAGAAACTTTCATTTAACATCTAGTTTGTATTCGCTGCTTTCACTGTCGAAAGATAAATAAAAACCACAGAAAACATAATATATACTGTCTCTGCTAGTGTTAATTATCATTCCGTTTCCACCTTCCTGCCCACCCTTTATTTTGAGCGCAAACAATTGATTTTTTTTTTTGTACTCCTGAGTATTTTACATTGGTCTTTTTTTTTATTTTATTAAGGGACATCTCCGTGTCTTTTTTTTTTTTTTTTTTTTTTTTTTCTTCGCCTTATTTAGCTTGACTTGTGTTGCCTAAAAAACCTCTGTAACTCTTAATTTTCGCGTAAGGAAGGGAATATTCTGCCTCCTAGGCAATTCTATGATGTAAAGTGCATCGTGGCGTTTCCCTTCATAAACATAAATGAAAAGGAAAATACAATAGTATTATACGACTAAAGAACGATGGGTAATGGACACTGGACAATGGACGTTCTGATAGGGGCACTGATAGCTGTTTATCAAATCTTCGTCCATTGGCCGAACACAGGGTTGGACACAAAGTTTAGCCTTAACAAAGAAGCATGGACGTCTCCAACTTTAGTAAGAACAGTGCCAAGCTCTCATGCTCTCAACGCCAAATAAGATCATTTCCACCATATCCCTGGACGCGTGAGGGTCAAGAAAAAAGAAGCTTAGATGATGGCGAGGCGTCGTGAGCTTGTTGATTTGGCGAAATCAAGTGGCTGTGTCCCTCCTTGTTCGTATTTTCGCATGGTGTTCTGGAGTAAAGTGATCTGACCGTAAGGTGCAAAATGCAGGTTTGGTGTTCTTAACATGACCTCATGGGCCAGCAATCTTCCCAGGCAACGATAGGACGGTAAATTAACACTGGACATGTTCCAAAGCTTTTTTTTATTGCAAACAGCCACAGCAGTGGAGACAAAGAGTGTCCGAGTCTTTACTGGCTTACTGTTTTAATGTTCTGTTGCAGGGTTTTTTTTTTATTCATTTCCTTCCATCCTTTGATTCTTTTTGCTCATTCATTTTCCCTTCCAAATCCTCAATTGCATTCCTATTCATTTTTATTAAACCCGATTTTACCTAAATCATGGGGCTTCAGATCTACGACATTGTGTCGTTTGTCTTCTCCATCCTCCTCGCTATCTTCTTCCGGGAGATTCGACCAAGCGGTGTTCATCGGGTCCCAAAGAAGGGTCCTGTGATTTTCGTTGCTGCACCTCATGCCAACCAGGTAAGCATACAGATACACATCACATAGTAGTTACTGCATTGTCATGTCACTGGTGAATGACAATGACCAACACTTTTGACATAATTCACGACAAAGATAAGACTGAAGGAAAAAAAAGTAATGCTTACAAGACTCGTGTACGAATTTTTTTGTTTATTTTATTTTATTTTATATTTTTTATTGCAGTTTGTCGATCCACTCGTGTTAATGAAGGAATGTGGTCGACGTGTCTCGTTTCTTGCAGCCAAAAAGTCAATGGATCGTCCGTGGATCGGTGCTTTCGCCCGTTCGATGAATGCAAGTAAGTTGTCAGTTATGCGACTGTATAAATACTTTTTCAGTTTCAGACTACATCTCTATTTTTTATTTTTATTATTTTTTTTTTCAAATCCAGCTCAGATCTATCTTGTTTCATTACTGATGTTGTGCGCTTTAACCATCCTTTATTTGACTGGGCAGATCAATAACAAGATATTCTTTCTATACAATTTCTATAGTTCCTGTGGAGCGCCCTCAGGATGTAGCTAAAGCTGGTTCAGGGACCATCAAATTGCAAGATCGGTATGGTGATCCACTTCGTATTACAGGTGTCGGCACCAAATTTACCAAAGAGCTCTTGGTCGGAGATACAATCCAACTTCCAAAGGACGTTGGATCTTCTGCCGTTGCGGAAATCATCTCTGATACCGAGTTAGTCCTTAAAAAAGAAATTAAGGAACTTAAAGCACTGGAGCTACTGACTAGTGAGGATGGATCCAAGTACAAATGCCTTCCCCACATGGATCAGACCAAAGTCTACAAGACAGTTTTTGATAAATTAAATGCAGGACATTGCGTTGGCATCTTTCCTGAAGGAGGTTCACATGATCGTGCCGAGATGCTGCCATTGAAAGGTTTGATTATATCTTTTATTTTATTTTATTTTATTTAATTATCTTGCATACTGACGAACTATAGAGTTACTAATCTTTGCTCAATTAACTCACATCAACAGCTGGAGTGACCATTATGGCATTGGGTGCCTTGGATGCTAACCCGTCCCTTGACCTCAAAATCATCTGCTGTGGCCTTAACTATTTTCATCCGCACCGTTTCCGATCTCGTGCAGTTGTTGAGTTTGGCGAGCCCATCACAGTCCCACCAGAGTTGGTGGAGATGTACAGGAAGGGTGGCCCTGATAAGCGCAAAGCCTGTGGAAAGTTGCTTGACACAGTCTATGAAGGCCTCCGTGAGGTCACTTTGAATGCACCGGATTACGAGACACTGATGGTAAGGTCAGGTATCTTTTGTTTATTTCATTTTCTATTTCTATTTCTATTTCTATTTCTATTTCTATTTCTATTTCTATTTCTAAAAAATGGCTTCGTTGTGCACTATAGGTTGTCCAAGCAGCTCGTCGTTTGTATAAACCCCCCCATCAAAAGCTTCAGCTTTCACAAATCGTGGAATTGAATCGTCGATTTGTAGCCGGATTCCTGCATTTCAAGGACAATCCAAAGGTGCTTGAAGTTAGAAACAAAGTTGTCCACTACAATACGCAGCTGCGCTATCATGGGTTGCGGGATCACCAGGTCGGCAAACATAGAACAAGGAGAGAAGCCTTTATGCTTTTGCTTTCAAGGGTTATTCAGATGGTCTTTTTGAGCTGCCTTGCGCTTCCGGGGTAGGTTCTTGATTTCCCAAAGCCAAAACCAAATTAACATTGAGCCATTGATAGAGTTAAACCTCCTCAAATGACGCGAAAACGCAAACATATATCCTAATCACAGACTTGGATTCAAATAGGGCTTTAATGAATCTTCCAATAGCTATCGTTGCTCGTGTCATCAGTGAAAAGAAAGCGAGAGGTCTGTGCATAGAATCGCACTCACTCTTTTGGATGGACTCTTACCTCAATATGTCAGACTGACAAACTTTATTCGTATTGTATATTTCATAAATCTTAATAACAGAGGCGCTGGCTGCATCGACTGTCAAGATCGCCGGAAGGGATGTTTTAGCTACATGGAAACTGCTCGTCGCACTTGGACTGGCACCGGTCCTATATTTTTTGTATGCAGTCATCATTTTAATCTACTCTGGTCGATTCGAGCTCCCACTCAAGACACGCTTTTTGATCAGCTGGGCTGCCTGGGCGTTTATTCCCTTCGTGACCTATGCTAGTATTCGATTTGGTGAGCAGGGCCTTGATATTTTCCAATCGATCCGCCCATTGTTCCTCTATGTTTTAGGCGAGGAGGATGTAGTGAATGATCTTCGTAAGGCTCGTGCAGAACTGCAAAAAACCATCAACGAGTTAATCAACGAGCTTGCGCCTGAGATTTTCCCTGATTTCGACTCGTTCCGTATCCTGGACCCCAAAACAGCAGAGCAGTCAGACCAGCCAAGTCAGCCAAGTCAGCCAAGTCAGCCCGCTTCAAGCGCTGGTCTTACTCAAACTATCCTTGACACTGCAGTACAGCCAATTTCGAAATGGTTGGGCAGTGATGGTCGATTTGAATGGGAGCGTACGGAGGATTCAGATGCGGATGATGTTTTCTTCTTCCTTAAACCTGGAGGAGGCATCCGTGGACGATCCAGAGTCTCGTCCTGGAGAGGAGAAGGGGCACATACACCCTCTGATAAAAATGAGTCAACTAGATCGCGATCTACAAGCCGTAGCAGGACTAGCAGCTTTACATCAGGGCAACTAGGTGAAGGCTTCAAATTGGAGGCTATGACGGGTCTTCCTAGAGACAAGCCTTTCGCCGAAGTCTCACGCCGACTCGGTGTCGAGCGAAAGCAATGATGTGGGCATTGAAGGCGTGATAACGCAGAAGTAAAGGAATATTGTGGGCTTCGTCTTATTGTCAATAGTAAGATCATCGCCTTTCATCATACCAGAATCTTCAATAGTCAACTACAAATGAAGTTATCCAGATTTCACTACAAAACTACGATCATTCTTAAAACATTGGCTTTCTGAATTGATATTTTTTTGTGTTGGATGTTATGGTGCCTTTGTCAAACATAAAGAAAAGAGAACAATCAGAGAGGATGTTTAGTAGCTGAGACTTGTTCAGAAAGCAGGTAAGATATAATGCTTCATACTGTCGTCTGTCCTTTCAGAAAAGGAAAGGAGCATCTGTTTGAAAAGATAGCGTGGAATGAAAAGGTGAAAATGAGTAAACTACAAAGAAGCAAGAAATCGGTATAGTCAGTCCAAGTTAGATGACTTGACATTATGGCTCAGAGTCGAAGTCATGAGCTAAAAAACAGATCCTTCATCAGAAGTAACAAGTGAGCATGTGGATATGACTCATTCCTTTTTGGTCGAAATCGCGTGAGAGCAATGTTTATCAGATTTGCAGCACCTCTCTAGTTACCAACTATGGTTCTATTGAACTTTGGTGAGTGAGAAAAAAGATAAAATGATGGTGCTTTGATCTCCAGCCACACAGCAGCTCTTTGTTTTTTTTTTTTTTTTTTTTTTTTTTTTTCTCGCATGATACTTTCTCGAGTGGTGTTCGCAACCTCATTCAGTCCTTCGTTTGCTACTGCAATCATTCGACCGCTTTCCAGAACCAGATTTGCAGTGACCAATTTCACATCCATGTCTCAAAGTGATGCCGCTTCTACTGCAGCAGCTTCTGCTGTATCAGATACTATAGATACTTCCCTCACTACTAATTTGGGCGCCAAAGAATTTATACAAATGGTGACAGGAGAGTCTGGGGAGCTTTCCGAAAATGAGCAAGCAATAGCCGAAGTCGGCTCAAAGCCATCCACAGAGATAGAGACAGCGACAAATGAAGGAATTAGTGAAAGCAAAAAGAGAAAGGGACAGATCCAAGCGGAAGATACGTCCCAATACTTACCTCCAAAGCGTAACAAAATGGGTGGTAATAATCAGGGGGCAGGAAATCATAAAGGCGGGAAAAAAGGATCTTGGGGAGCCGGTTCCCGCAATGCTGAGGATGCTGCCAAAGCTGCCGCTGCTGCGAGTGATGATGATCAAGGAGCGGGAGAAGAAGGGGAGAAAGAAGCGCGTCTTCCAAAGCGTAAAGTTGCTTTATTGATAGGCTACTCCGGAACTGGATACCAGGGCTTGCAAGCGTAAGTGGATACAATGCAATGTACGTCTGACGACAATGAAGGATAATCAATTAGGATAAACTAATGATTTTTTTTTTCTCACATTGATAACTGAATCAGTAACCATAACGTCAAGACAATTGAAGGAGATCTTTTCAAAGCCTTAGTCCAGGCTGGAGCTATATCTAAAGATAATGCTGACGACATCAAAAAGGTTTGTACATTTAGCCCCTCAATGTATCATGTATAAAACCAGTCAAGGTATAACTAATAATGTTTATACCTTTTATTTTTCTATCAACAGGTCAGCTTAATGAGATCCGCCAGAACAGATAAAGGTGTACATGCGGCAGGGAATGTGGTCTCATTAAAGATGATTTTGGATGTTCCGGATGTTCCGGATATAGTCAGCAAGGTCAACTCGCTTTTGCCTGCGCAGATCCGATTGTTTGGATATATTCGCACAATCAACTCATTTAATCCCAAAGTCCTCTGCGACTCACGTGTATATGAGTATTTGCTGCCAACCTATGTCTTTTTGCCACGGCCACCACTTCCAGCCAAATCTGCAGCAGAGTCAGAAATACCCTCTACCACTGAACCAGCAAAGTCATCTATACGAACGGACGCACCAGAGGGCAGTTTAGCATGGGATCAGAACGTACATATTTCCACTCCAGAAGAGATGGCGGTGAAGCGGAGCTATCGCATTGATCCAGAAACATGGGCTAAAGTGCGAGATGGATTTGCGGAGTATGTCGGCACAAAGAACTTCCACAACTATACAATCGGAAAAGATTTCAAAGACCATTCCTGCAAACGCTACATTATGAAGTTTGATGTAAGATCTAAATACCTCTAGTACCTATCGATCAAAATTCAAGACTTTACCTTGTCTAATTTTTTTTTTTTTTTTTTTTTTTTTTTTTTTCTTTTGGATGGTCAGGTGAGTGAACCAAAGATGATCCAAGGCACGGAATGGCTTAGTTTGAAAGTTCACGGCCAATCATTCATGCTACACCAGATTCGCAAGATGGTCGGATTGATTGTGATGATTATCCGGACAGACACGCCTCTGAAGCTCATCAGCGAGACTTTTAAATCTAACAAAATCAACATCCCGAAAGCACCCAGTCTTGGACTGTTACTAGAGCGAGTAAGATTGATATGTCTCAGCCAAGGTTCTTTGCTCAGCCGTTCTATTTCAATGAGCAAATTACTAATCACTAACCCATTTTTTCCCTCTTTATTTTGCGTGCATGTCTTTACGCTTCTCCAGCCACTGTTCGATACATACAATCGCAAGTTTCAAGGCAAGCATCAGCCAATAGTATTTGACCCGTTTAAGGAAGAAATGGAGGCGTTTAAGGAAAAGTATATTTACGAGGGTATTATAAAGGAGGAGCTTGAGTTCAATCGGTTTGACGAGTATCTTCAAATTATGGACGGACACGCTGATCGGTACAATTTTGCTTATCTGAATAAGGAAGGCATCATCCCTGAGGAAGCTATTATCAAAAGAGGCGATACATTTGAAGATATTGAGTGATCGGATACAGGTCTAGACGAGTCTTCTTTAATGTAAAAAGATCAATCACGCTATATATAAAAAATAAAAATAAAAAAGATGTAAAGATGTATTTCAACCCTCGCTTTTCTTTCTTTCTTTTTTTTTCCCTTTCTCTTTCCTTTTCTCTTTCTCTCTTTCTCTCGGTCAATCTTTCTTAGCGCACAGTCCAGAAGGTACTTGTTTTCTGATTTGTGTTTGAGTTAAATAAACAAACACGCGATATGCGACGCGTTGTGTACAACTTTACAATACACCAAAAACTTTAGTGTCTCTACCTTCTTTGATCGATATAGGCCTTTTTTCAAACCAACAATTATAAAACGGTCGTCTGATGTTCTTTTTTTTTTTTTTTTTATGATTTCCTGTAAAGGACCCAACGAACAGCTATAAGTATGATTGTACAAGATCATTCGATTGTGAACATAATGCACTAATCCAAACTGCTGCTTAGCTTACAATAAACACCATTGATGTATAAATGCAAACTAGTTCGTATTTTATGCGGTACATGTGCTATCTGTACTCAAATGTTCTTTAATAATTTTTTTTTTTTTTTTTTTTTTTTTTGATGGTTTTTTGGGATATTTGAAGAGCCCTTGTACAATGCATTTTGGATAAGAACAAGAGCCAGATACAGAGTTTATGTATACATGCTCCTTTGAATAAAATATAGAGTATTTGTAGAGCGGAGAAAGAAAGTAACCGGGTACAATCATTTCGTTTTTCTTTTTTCTTTTTCTTTTTTTTTTTTTTCACACGAAACACCGAGTACATGTACAGCAAATATTGATCTGTCATCTTTTCCCCAATACTGTTATCTTTTCTTATGAGAAGCATGACAACTTTTTGTTGTTGAAAGGATTAGTCATTGTAGCGAAAAGAAAACCATCGGTGGTCTAGAGATAGATATTTATACATTAAATTGTATAATGGGGCAAATGGTAAAGGATCGTGTGGAAGAGCAATCCTCTTACAAGCACCTGACATGCTAATAAAAAAAAAAATTGAATCTTGTTTCTGTTTCAGAGTCGGGGACAGGACACAGGACAGGGGCCATTGGATTCCTTCCACCCCCTTAGTTGTTTTGACATGTCTTGCTTCATAAGCATAGCTCAGCAACTTTACAAAAAAGAGAATCGCGTCAACAGTATTAAATAAACACAGGAATGCCTCCATTTGCGCACATACGCTATCAGCCCCCCTCCCGAAAGACTCTTGGGAATTGATAGCATTATACTCTTCAAAGTTAATGCAATTCCTATTTTCATTCATACTTTCATAACCCATTCTTAATGTTAAAGGATAGCTAGCATACATGTAGTTTATGGTATTCAGCCAATTGTTGAATGGTTGATTGCTTCTTGTCGCTTTATTGTATTTACACATGATTGCTGTGCGAGAGAGCTGGAGAAGGGGAAGAAGAAGAGGAGAAGTGATAGATTGGACTGGGTTGTCTTGCTAGATCACATCTACGATTGCACACATCACTTTTTTACACCATCTTGTCTACAATACAAAGAACAAGATCACAACAACAAACAATCAAAGCTAAAACCCTGTTAATTTCCCACTTGGCCTCCCTCTTCTAGTATCTACAAACTGCCCTTTCGAACTTTTTTAGTCTTCTTCTTTCTCCTAGTACCCTTCATCCAATTTTTTTTTTTTTTTTTTTTTCTTCTTCATTCACCGTCACCCATCCCCACCTTCATCCACTCACCCACTCTCTCACTCATATATACACATACTTCTTTCTTCCCTTCCATCTTCCTCTACCTTCTTCATACTTTCTTCCTTCCTTCCTTCCAGGTACACCGCCTGGCTTCTCTTCTGTGGTAAGATTTCACCTACACTCATATACAAAATCACCACACATTAAACCACAACAACCACAATTAGACTAACCTCAAAAAAAAAAAAAAGAAAAAAAAAAAAAAAAAGAATGTTCTTCCAATCAGAAGCATGGAACTAAATGTCCGACCTTGATTTCCTCTCAACACGGGCCAAGGGAGATTATTTCTCTAAAGCCTTTTGCTAATTGCTTCTTTGTGCGTGTTTTTGCTGTTGTTGTTGTTGTTGTTGTTGTTGTTGTGGATGGTGAAAAACAAAGCAACAAGCACAGAGCCCCTTTAGTTCTTTTGCTTTGAGATGTAACAAATCCACTTCTACATCGAATATCACGCCAAGGAAATAAAAGTGTGCGTGAGAATGATTGTTGTGGTCGTATCTATACCATGTGCCCAAAATTGGTTCAGGTCTGCCTTTTTTTTTTTTTTTTTTTTTCTTGAATGGATGGAAACAAAATGACCGACTGGGCTGGTCTACTTCTCAATCCTTCATTCCCTTCTCTCTTACTGAACATACTTTTTTAATACAGAGTTATTAATATTACTTTCCTTCCGGTTGTCCCTTTCACGAACAACTTCTTCTTCTTCATCCTCTCTGACTCATTCACAATTCTCTAACATTGTTATTTTTTTCCATTGTTGCTCCATTTTCTTTCTTTCTTTCTTTTTTTTTCTTCTCATCTCTTCATAGTGTGAATGGCACGACGTCCCGTCTCAGAGTCCTTCACCATGCTGTCAGAACAGGGGAATCAGTCATTTGATCCTACGGTCTCATTCCGTCAGTCCGACTATAGTCCCACTATGCTTCAACAACAGCAGCAGCAACAGCAGCAGCAGCAACGGCAACAGCAACAGCAACAACAGCAACATTTTGCATCTGGACATCAGCAACAGCATCAGAAACAGCAACAATTTCATCGGCCGGCTCGACCGGCTTCTGAAATCTTGCCTCAGAATCATCAGCATCCTTTTTTAAGTAATAACTTCCAATCTCCAGAAGGTAAGCAAGACAAAAATCTGGAACCCACAACAGAGAAAATACAAGCTGCGATAGCGAACCAGCGGATCATCGAATTCATAGTCCTAGTTTGGATAGCTGATTTACCAATCCAAAAACGATCTTTTCCTTTTGTCTAGCTGAGGCGATCGATAAATGGTTTGAGGACCTTTCTAATTATGAACAGACTCTGGAAGAAATGGCTGTCGTTTCACTTGACACAGTCTTTAAGGACGAACTCTCGACAATTGAGTCTTGGTTCAGGGTCTTGTCAGAGGCAGAACGGACAGCTGCGCTGTATTCACTTCTACAACATTCTTCGCAAGTCCAGATCCGCTTTTTCATTACGGTACTCCAGCAAATGGCCAAAAAAGATCCTGTTGGCGCGCTCTTGTCTCCTTCATACAATGACAAAGGTAATGGAGCTTTACACAGTTTTAAATGGCTTCGACAAAAGCTTACGAAATCTATTGGAATGCTGACTCTTTTTTTTTTTTTTTTTTTTTTTTTTTTGTCAATGATGATGTTGTTGTTGTTATGTTGGGGGTACACTCACATGATGACCATCATTTTCTGAACAAACCTCCTTCCCCTTCTTTTTTATTTGATGCGCAACTCTTTTTTAGATCCTGTACAAAGTCAGCTGCACGGTGCCATGGCCAAGGCTGAAATGGAGGCTAGCCAACGGCTACTGAATGTCCTTCCAATCCAGCCTCCAGCGCCTATCGACCGCCCTGGTCAACGACGACTCTATGACCGCCACTCAGTCACCATCGGAGAGAGCGATGAATATAGTCGCCTATTCCGCAGTCGAGACGGCAAAAGAAATAGCATTGACTTTTTAGGTCGACCCGCCGTCACTAATAATACCAACAATGCCAACATGGCCAACATTGCCAATCAGTTTCATAGTGGTATCGGCCCCAACGGCGCAGTCAACAATAGTACCAACAATGTGAATGGTAATCCTAATGGACAAGTGAATGGTGTCATTGGCAGCAATGCGTTATCAGAATCAATTTCTGCGCGCGTGAATCAGTTTAAACAACCTAGTCAAGGGTCTTTGAACAGGATAAGCACCCCAAATGTGTTTAGCAACCGGCCTAAATCTGTGCATGAGGGCGATGCCTCATCCATGTTCTCTGCTAACTGGAATTTTGCTTCACTGGGTGCAAACCCTATTCCTAGCACCAATGGTAATGGCAATGCACTGACAGCTGGAGCAGGCTCGTCCTCGCTGTCAGGTTCGCCAGGCAACATTGGTGATAGGACCTCTTTTGGACGCCCCAAATCTGTCGGTGGAGCTGAATGGATTTTGAGTGGCTCCTCTACTGGTCACCGAGGCTCGGTGACGGAGGGACTGGACAAATCGTGGACACCTCTAATGGTATCGCCACCTAACATGGGTGGATTTCACAATGGTACCAATGGCACTGGACACAATCTGAGCGCAGGTGGATTCTCATCAGGGTCGGGCTTGGCTGTTGAACGGCCAAAGTCTGTGACCGATGCTGATCTCGCACATTTGAATATCTCTCAATGGATTAATAACAATAATATTCCGAATGGCAACGGTGCTGGTAACCGGACTTCAACTCTTGATGAGCTGAAGGCGAACAATCGTCGCAGGACCCTCCTCAGGCCAAGCGCCATTATCTCGAACGTCCCGGTGACGGTGATGGAGGGCGACGAAAAGCTGTTGAGCGCGAGCGCCAACACGTCCTCCATCAACATTGTTTCAACAATGTTTAATGAATCTTCTAGTTCTGGATCTGAATCGGGACTTGGTCCCATGTCTGATTTAACGGGTATGGCTGGAACCTCCTCTCCTGCAGCATCGCAGGGCAATGCTTCAGGATTTTCCTATGCGGGTTCGCAGCCCTCCTTAAATTCTTTTTCTCAACAACAACAGCAGGCTGTTCAGCAATTGCAAAACCTTAACCTTGAACCCTCGGTGACGGCTCGCTCTACTCAGCAGCCACGTTCAAGGGCGTCTTCACCTTTTGCGTCTCCACTTCCTTCGCCTGTCAAGTCTGGATTCCGCTCCCGGCCGGTTTCGGGGCCCGCATCCCCACGTCTGTCGGCCACTCAGCATCCTTCTTCTGCATGGAGTTCAAACGGAGGGGGCAATAATGGCAATAATAGTAATATAAATAACCTCAATTTGGGGATGGCAGCTGATGGCAGCGCCACAGTTATTCCTACAGATTATAATCAGAAGCGTCATCTGTCTCCTCCTACGCACCAACGACCGCTTCAACAGAGTAACAACTATCACAATCATCCTTATCATAACCATCACTCGTCACTGGATGACGATTATTTGAGTGACACTAGCGACATTTCGAGTTTGGGTATGAATAGCCATCATGGTGGACGAGGTAGTTCTGCCAGTAACAAGGAGAAAAAGCAGCCTGAGGGTGTTGATTTTGAACTTTTACAAGGTAATGTGAAACAAGGATACAAGGATTTTTTTTTTTTTTTTGTCTTTTTTCATTTTAATGTTCATCGAACTGACCAGTTATTATTATTATTATTATTATTATTATTTTTAAAAAAAAATAAAAATAAAAAATTAGATACCCCGGCATGGCTTCGATCACTAAGACTGCACAAGTACAATAGTATATTTGAAGGGATGCAATGGCGCGATATTGTGAACCTGTCGGATGGCGACTTGATCAACAAAGGCGTTGCGGCTCTGGGAGCCAGACGTAAGATGTTGAAGGTTTTTGAGCAGGTTCGAAAGGAAATGCTTTTGCAGGTAAGGATGATAGTGCATAATGGTGAACTTTGTTTTCTAGGAGTAGAGCTCTGACAGATACGGCTATACTGATTTTTTTTTTTTTTTTTAACCTAAACACTATTGCTGATGATGACATGACGAATAGGGCATGGTTGTTTAAAAAGGCACTGAGACACTTGAAGAGTCGAATGTGGATAGTTGATATGGGATGAACAGCAGGAAAGACATAAAGCAGAGCTATATTAGGTGAAAGGGAAGATGGGCAGATGTGGATACAGAGACTAGGCCAAGGACAAGGAATGCCTTTTTTTTTTTTTTTTTTTTTTTTTTTTTTGTTTTATTTTTTTATGTTTGCTTTGTTTTATATCAAGAAGAGAGAAAGAGTTGGCTTTCGTCCTTCGCCGTCCTCTGTAAACCAGCTGAGATCACGCATGGACAGGATCCGGCGGATTTTTTTTTTATTATTATATTTTTATTATATCTTTTCGTACCTGTTTATTATTTATTGCATGAAGACGAAGGATATGATGGGGAAGGGGAGGAGGAAGAGGCAGAAGAATAAGTGAATCATCTGATATGACTTGAAGGCGTGCTCTGTATCGTCCGTTTCATACTTTTTTTTTTTTTTTTTTTTTTTTTATGGTTAACTTTTGTTATTATAAGAAATAGTGTTAGTTTTATCAGCGTCGGTCAATGCTTTTCCCTCAGGGGTTTTTTTTTTTTTTTTTATTATCATTCCTGAGAAATGCAGAAACGATGTGTTGTTCTTGTATATATGAGATAAAGCAAAGAAGACGAAGCTCTTTCTTTTTAGATGATAAGTAAATGTGTAGAGTTTTAAGTGTGCAATTGTATATAATACTAAGATTGTTCTGTTTAAATGTTGAACCATGGTCATTGATCTTATGAGTTCATATGGATTGCATTGGATGTGTTCTTTACTCTAAGCATAGGCATCCGCAAACAGGCGATTGTTTCTCAAGAGTTGATGGTGAATAGAAATATAGAAATATAAAATACAGTCTATTCGTTGGACCGTTGATTGAATTGTCGGATGTTGTAGATCTTTGAGAGCACTTTGAGATTAGAGAAGTTTTTAGTTGGCAAAGAAAGGTAGAAAGAGGGATCATGTAGATGTATATGAGAAATAGATACGCGCGTTAATTTGGGTAAATGCTTAAAAAGAAAAAGCTAAATGAAGAGGAGAGGAATGTTGATTGATAGACTATTGAAAAATGAGCACAAAAGGGCAGTGAATGAGGAACCAAAAAGGTTAAATTAAATTAAGCAAAAAAAAAATAAAATAAAATAAAATAAAAAATAAAAAATAAAGAATAAAATAAAACGTGGAACGTTGTCAAGCAGACACAAGGTTGAACAATATATAACACACTGTGGAATGAGAGTAGACTTGCTCCTCGCCTTGCCTTGTACACGAACAATTAGATGACAGAGCTCTTTTTAGCAATGGTGCAAATGGAATCAACTATGGGAAGGGCATTTGCCTTTCAACATCTGTGTATAATATATAATATAATGGACTACAGCCCTGAGTTGTGTCGATTTTAGATCAAAATCCATATGCTAAAACCCAGAGATAAAAAAAAAAAAAAATTCTATTCTTGTTCGTGCCTCAAACCTTAAATTGATGGCTCCCCAATCCCCATCTTTTATTTATTTTAATTTTAGATGAATAAATATTAACCAGCAAAACAACGAATAGGGCCAATGTGCTGTACAGTATATAACATGTAGAAGAAAAAGAAAAAAAAAGAAAGAAAAAAACGTGTGTTCAAATTCTGTTTTAATACATCAACATATTATATTATATTATACCGTTGCCTACCTGATTCGATCATTAGCCTCAGTTCAGCCTAACTCACCTAACTCAGCCTAGGTAATCTATATAGCAAATGAGCAGAAAAAAGGAAAAGAGAAGGGCGAGAGAAGAATACGAGGGTGAGTATGGGAATGGTTAGGAGGAAGGGTATGGGGTATGAGAGCAAGTATGAAGGAGAGAACGTGGAGAGAAAGGATAAGTGTAAAAAGAAGAGATGGGTGTGAACAAAGGAGAAAGAGAACGTCCATTCATCCGATTCATGCATAAAATATACAAGTACACAGAACAAGCATGAATTTATGGATTTTACTCCCGTTGACTGAACCGAAAAAAAAAAAAAAAAAAAAAAAAAAAAAAGAACGAACATGAATGCGAATACAGCCCTCCCCTTCTTTTCCGGATAGACCCTCTTTTAGACCATCGCCCATAGCCAAGCATCTGTTTTTTTTTGTTTTTATGACAGGGGCAGGGGATTTAGAGTTTCCAAGCATTCTATTACTCTATTACATATGCTTCATATGCTAATCACGCTAACCATGGTGATAACATATATATAATATATACATATAATACATAATATATATAATAATAATAATAATAGTAATAGTAATAATAATAATAACAATACAGAATAATAAAGAATAAAGACTTGTCTCAAAATCAAACTGATTCGTTGATAAAATGTTCTCAACTTCCGCCCGTCCTCCTATTTTTTCTCTTCTTTCCTCATCATTCTTCTTTTCTTCTTCTCATCTTGCATTCATCTTTTATCTCTCATCAACCTCTGTCTATATTTATACTCCATCTTATACATAATACATCATGAAGGCCCTTATTCTCGTCGGTGGTAAGTAAAAAAAAAAGAATTACAAGCATTCGAGATGGAGAAAAAAAAAAAAGGTTCTTCATCTAACAAGTCTTTTTTTTTTTTTATTGACATAATCTCAGGTTTCGGTACCCGTCTTCGCCCTTTGACTCTGACCATGCCCAAGCCTTTGGTAGAGTTTGCTAACAAGCCCATGATTCTTCATCAAATCGAGGCTCTGGCTGAGGTAAACATCAACTCGATCGATCAGATTTAAACGTGTGCGTGTGTATGCGTCCCATGATTTTTTTTATTTTCTCATCTCTCAGGAACCATCTTTGAGAATGGAACACATTTCCATAAAATTCATCAGCCGAGAGATGCATGGACAAAAGAAAACCAAAAAAAAAAAAAAAAAAAAAAAAAAAGCTACCAAGACGCGTATTTTTTTTAATTTTTTTATTTTTTGCCTTTTATTTTCTCGTGAGAAATGGAAACGAGCATGCATGGCAGTTTTAATTCCCAAGTCAGATAGTGGAATTTGAAAGATTAGGAACTAAGAGACTGATGTAAAAGCGTTTTTCTTTCCTCTATTATTGGATATACTTAGGCTGGTGTTACTGATATTGTCTTGGCTGTCAATTACAGACCTGAGGTCATGGTCTCAATTCTTCAAAAGTATGAGGATCAGTACAATGTCAAGATCACCTTCTCTGTCGAAACTGAACCCCTTGGCACAGGCAAGTTTTTTTTTCTTCTTTTCTTTGCATTATCAATCGATCATCTCTAGTTTAAACTATTTCTTGCTCTTAGGGAGTTGCTTTCTATTCTTCCACAAGACTGACCTGATTATCATTCCTCCTTATCTTCCTTAATATCCCGGACAATGCTTATTTCCTTTTTTTTTTTTTTTTTTTTTCCGGTCTCTGGATTGATGGTATGCTAATATAGCTGGACCTCTGGCTCTTGCTCGTGATATTCTTGGAAAGGATGACTCCCCGTTCTTTGTCCTCAACAGTGATGTTATCTGTGACTTCCCCTTCCAGAAGCTCAAGGCTTTCCACCAGGCTCACGGAAATGAGGGAACTATTGTTGTAAGTAACAGGTTTATCACATATATACCCCTGCTCACTTATATCCCTCTTTTGCTACATTTAATGCTCAAATCTTTTTCTAATGTTCATCATCAAAATTCGATGGACTTGAATATTCATCCTAATTTTTTTTTTTTTTTTTTTTTTTTTTTTTTCCTGATGTGTGCTATCATAACAGGTCACCAAGGTTGAAGAGCCCTCCAAATATGGTGTTATTGTGAACAAGCCTGAGAGCTCTATGATTGATCGCTTCGTTGAGAAGCCTGTCGAGTTTGTTGGCAACAAGATCAACGCCGGTATTTACATCTTCAACCCCGCCATTTTGGACCGCATTGAGCTCAAGCCCACCTCTATCGAACAGGAGACCTTCCCTTTGATGGCCGCCGACAACCAACTTCACTCCTTCACTCTTGAAGGTTTCTGGATGGATGTTGGTCAACCCAAGGATTTCTTGACCGGAACGTGTTTGTATCTCTCTAATGTCAATAAGGTTAACCCAGGAGCTTTGGCCAACCCCAACTCCGGCTACGTTCATGGTGGCAATGTCCTTGTTGACCCTACTGCCAAGATCGGAAAGGACTGTCGCATTGGACCTAACGTCGTCATTGGACCTGGCGTCGTCATTGGTGATGGTGTCCGTCTCCAACGCTGTGTCCTTCTCGAGGGTTCATCTGTTAAGGACTTTGCATGGATCAAAAACTCCATCGTTGGTTGGCATTCGACCATTGGTCGCTGGGTATGTCCTTATCGATTATCTTTTATTTTTTATTTTTTTATTTTTTGTGATGAAGGAATATAGAGCACGTGCTCTTCCAAGATGAGATGCTAATTTATCCTATTTTGTTGTCACCGCAGGCTCGTTTGGAGGGTACTTCAGTATTGGGTGACTATGTCACCGTAAAAGATGAGGTCTATATCAATGGTGGATCCATCTTGCCACACAAGTCAATCTCGAGCAACATTACCGAGCCTCAGATTATTATGTAAAAAAGAAAAACAACATCCAAAACGCCACTTTCAAAAGAATGAAAAGATGAACTGTGGAGAAGAACGAATCAAGCCAGGACACAGAACAGTCAAGACATACAAGCTCTTTTTTTTTTTTTTTTTTTTTTTGTTTTCCTCTTCGTTAATATCGAATACCACGACCAAGACTATTATTACTTGTAAAAAAAAAAAAAAAAAAAAAAAAGAAAAGGACATTGAAGGAGAGGAAAAAAAAAGCGGGTCTTTTTTTTTTTTTTTTAGGTTGTTCTGTTTTATTGCTATTCATTGTTTTGCCTGACATAATCCTCTCTCTCCACTGGGTTTTTTTTTTCAACTCTTTTCATACAGCAACCTGCACTACACATACTTTTATGTTTGTTCTTTGCCTTTTTTTTTTTCTTAGTGTTTCTTTCATAGCTTATTAAAAATTAATTCTTTTCAATTTTTATTTTATGAGTGTATATTTGTGAATATTTATGTGAATACGTGAATATGTTTATGGATTTTTACGAATGCTGTGTTGTCGCAAAGTGGGAAAGAACAACGACCCCATGTCAATCTAAAAAGTCTAGTAATACATGTACAATGTGCAATTATCAATTAGAGAGACCTGTCAGATTTGACAATCTGGAAAAAGTCAATTGCCCAAAGAAAAATTTTCCTCCCTCTGTCCTCGCATCTCTGTTCCCAACCATTCTCATATCCCAACCTCCCTTTTTTTTAAGTATTAATTGTAATTACTATTATCATTCAAATTCCAAACACTGCAGTTCTCTCCCTCTTTTCCCTCTCATTCTTCTTTTAAACCCTCTCTAATCTACTTCAATCTTTTTTTTTTTTTTTTTTTTTTTTTGGTCATGAGTCATAACCATCACAAATCAGCGGCCACGCCATGGAATGTAAATCTGTCCTATGCACTGGACTGGTCCATTGTCATGTGTGTACCCATTGTGTTGTTGACAGGCCGTCATCTGGTCAAGACCTTTGGACATATGACGACTGATAGACAAAGACAACGCCTACAACAACGACAACAAGACAGCAATAGAAGTGATGGTAGTGATAATAATAATCATAGTCATAATAATAATAATACAGAGGAGGAGACAGCTGAACATCGTATGAGACACCCACCACATCATACGCCACAGGAATTAGATCCAAGAGTTGACATACCGACAAGGTACATCTTTTTTTTTTTTTTTTTTTTTTTTCCTCACAACCAATAGACATAAAGCATTAATAAACAACATTTCGCACAGACGACAAAAATACGCCATATTGTAATATACTCACTCTTCCGTTGCTACTGTATTTTATTTCTTTTTTCTGTCGTAACTGTCATCCGTTCCTGGAAATATAACAGCCAGCAATCCATCTCAACCTCATCAAAACGATGGTCCTATAGTCGTTTAGAGAATTGGATAGTCAACAAGGCCTCTGCGACATTATACCTAGGATCATTTGTTCATTTGGTCGCTGGTGCGACCTTACTGGCTCTGATCTTTCTCTCCATTCTAGCAGTCTTGCTGCTGATCAATGGAGATCTGATGTTGAATTCAAACCGAGCAGGTTATTTGGGCCTATCCTGTATTCCTTTCCTATTTGCATTCACGGGCAAGAACTCGATCATCTCTTTGATAACAGGAATGTCACACCACCGAATTAACCAGGTCCATCAGTTCTTGGGCCTATGTCTCTTTATCCTGGCCTCTGTCCATATGGGATGCATGTTTCATGTGTGGTGGCCCTGGAAGATACTGTTGCAACAGCAATTGGAGACAGAAAGGGTCCGGTATGGTCTTGCAACGTATACAACGCTCTGTTTGATCGTAGTGACAGCTGCATGGCCAGTTCGTCAATGGGCCTATGAAGTCTTCATAGTCAGCCACACGTTGTTCTTGGTGTTTTTGGTCCTGGTGGGACTTCATACGCCCTATGCGATGCGGTTTACGGCTGCGGGCATTATTTGTTATGTGCTGAATTGGCTTACTGGGTGGTGTATAAAGACCCATTTGGCACAAGCACAAGCGACAGTCTTCCAAGGACGACTGACAAGGTTGAGGATGGATAGAGTGGTGAACCATGGTCCAGGCCAACATATTTATGTCTGTGTTCCATCGATATCCATGATTCAATGGCATCCCTTCACGATCTCGAGTGCTGGTAATAGTCGTCATACAGATACTCTCAATGATGACTCCACCATGATGACAATCCATGCCAGGGCCGTGGGTGGCTTCACCCGAGAGCTATGTCGTTGGCCAGAGAATGTACAGCGACGGGTGATTTTGACAGGGCCATATGGTCAAAGTGTGAGCGTAGGTCAAGGGCAAGATACATTTAAAGTGGTCTTTGTGGCTGCTGGATCAGGTTTGGCTTACATTGTCCCTATTCTGATGGACCTGCTACAAAGGAGAAAACGTCTGGAGTGGCTAAGAGACAGCAGTAGTAACAATGATGCTTCCGTTGAAATCATTTGGTGTGTTCGTGATCCAGGTAAAGAAAGAATGAAAGAAAAAAAGAAAAAAGAAAAAAAACCCCCTTCTATTTTTTTTTTTTTTTTTTTAAAAAAAAAAAAAAAAGTAGAAGCATTACCATTTATTTATCTCTTATGGTTATTTATGCTTAATAGACGAGGTCCAGTGGTTTCAATCGGAACTGGAGATGGCGTTGGATGCTGCTCAAGGGCATTTCGATCATGTAGATAAGGAGAAAGATGATGTGGAGGATGAGGATGTGGATTTGATAACTGCAGGATCAATAGATATTCGGTTGAGAATGGTGATCCATTATACAACCGTTGCATTTGGTAATCAAGAATCGCTTGTAGTACCCGCACCTATCTCGTCTACATCCCATGTGAAAGAGCACCAAGAACAACAAGAACAGCAAGGTCAACAACAGGTCTCAGATGTAAGCCAGATGACATCATTAGCAACATCAACCAGGGGATCGCTCAATGTACCGTTTGCAGGGGACGACCGGGTGAAGTGGGTGGGATCGCGATTGGATGTGAAGTCATATATCAAGAAGCAGATCGAGGGTATTCCACGTGATCGAGCGATTGATATTGTTGGGTGCGGGCCCTCCTTGATGTTGGCAGAGCTGCACAATGCGGTAGCAGCCAAAGAAGAACTTTTCGGGTGCCGCGTGAACCTTCATACGGAACGATTTTACTTGTAAAAAGACTCTAACAAACCTATTTTATAATTTTTCATTATTAAGAGATAAAGAGATAAAGAGATAAGATATTCAACTGATAGTTTTACAATGCCAATGTGAATGCCATTGTCAATTATACTAACCATATATTATAGCGCCATGTGCGCCAATGCTGCTGTGATAACGGTAGTGTATAGGTATAAATATATAAATATATATATATATATTAATGCACTTTCTTTTTTTTTTTTAGTGCATTTGTGTATAGAGATGCAAATGTATACCTTAGCCTTAGTGAATAACCTTCCAAAAGGTGATGACATTTTCTATTTTTTTCATGGTCCCGACTCAGGAACACATAATTGTTTGGATGATGGCAACTGGCTGGGTACCAGTACAGGCACATGTATACACAATTGTACAGACTCCTTTTATGTACACGACACGTACATATTTAGTCTTTCTATCCTCTGTGATATTCAAAGCATTTTACTAATTAGCTCTTTTCCGGAAAAGCCTAGAGTAACTAAACACTACCTTTTTCCTTTTTCAGATGAGGGGAACAAGATACACGTGTAAGTATTAATGTACAGATGTACAGTTAGTGTATTGTATTAGGTATCCAGTCTATACTCTATTGTATATATACAGTGTAGCCACAGCTACCCTCACAGATACCAGAAGTAGAGATCAAGAAATAGCAGTAATGGGAGACGAACTAATGATTTTTGAATCAAAGTGGATTCACTAAGCCGTAGACCGGCTTGGTGAAGAAATGATGTAGAAGATCACGTACAGTGATGTCTCTCTAAGAGCGGTGTTTTGCCTCTGTTTGAGAAGCACAGTAATTTACCTTATCCAGTTTAAAAATGTTGCTTCTCCAAGACAGATGTTTTATCTGTTAAAGAGAGACTCGACTATAAGGGCAGACAGGACGACGCGAAAGGGTTCCAGAGATCAAACAGCCTTGCTGTAAAGGGGATAGTAAATGAATGTATCGTAGATTAGACATATATCAATGATAAACGCTGAAGGGAGAGCTCAGTCTAGAACAAAGACGGACTGTATTGATTAATGTAAACAAATGATCATCAAACATCGACAAATTGGGATACCATTTATTGATTCAATTCATTTTGAATAGAGAATGACTCAACTGCCATCCATCCGGGTTGAAAATTCTCCTATTGGATCATTGGACTTTTCGGACTGCTGTCCCAAATCTCTTATAAAAAGGGCAAGAGATGCAACCCAGCGTTTTTCTTCCCAACTTTCTTCTCATTCAAACTCGACTTTAAATCTTCTCACCTTCTCATTCAAAGCCAGGCGTCATATGTCCTCAGCCAAAGTAGAAACAACAACAGGAGTCGCAGCATCAACAACGGAAACAGTGAAACCCATTGATAATATCAATCACAACTTCGCTAGCAACATGGCCAGACAACAGCAGCAACAACAAACCAATAACAGCATCAAGCCCGTATACAATCAATGCAAAAAAAACGGCTCGTTGACCATTGTTATCAAGCTGGGCACATCTTCCATCTGCGATGAGGTTACACATTTTCCTTTGCTCTCGACCCTTTCAATGATCGTCGAGACGATCCTCAAACTTAAATCATTGGGACATCGAGTGATTCTTGTCACCAGTGGTGCCATTGGTGTTGGTCTACGACGTCTGAACTTGCCATCCAAACCAAAGGATCTTGCCCAAGTTCAGGTAATGGATGGTGAAGTATGCGCTAACGAAGTATGGTCATGCATAAAAGGAGGCATATTTTTAAGAAGCTTAAAGATATGATAAATGAGGGTAAATGGATAGGGAAAAAAAAAAAAAAAAAAAAAAAAAAAAAGAGGAAGAGGGAGGTTTTTTTTTTTTTTTTTTTTTTTCCTAACCGAAAATATATTATTCATTTTTTAGGCTATTGCGGCTGTAGGTCAAGGACGATTGATGAGTATGTACGATGACTTGTTCAGCCAATTCAATCAGCCTATTGCCCAGATCTTGTTGACTAAGAACGACATTGCAGACGTAAGTTAAAAAAAAAAAAAAAAAAAAAAAAAAATTGTTGTTTTTATGCTGTTCATTATGTACTATTGCATTTGATCTAAAAACAATTCTGTATCCTTATTCTTTATCAAACATAATAGCGAACACAGTACTTGAATGCCTGCAATACATTGGATTCCTTGATGGAAATGGGTGTGGTACCAATTGTGAATGAGAATGATACGATCAGTGTTTCTGAGATTCGATTTGGTGATAACGACACGCTGTCAGCGATCACAGCGGGTATGGTTCATGCAGATTATCTGTTCCTGATGACAGATGTTGACTGTCTCTACACAGACAATCCTCGTGTCAACCCAGATGCCAAGCCGGTCTTGGTTGTTGATGACATTGCAGCATTGAAGGAAAAAGGTGAGTTTTTTTTTTTTTAAGAAAAAAAAAAAAAAAAAAAAAAAACTGATCCCTAACTAAAAATACTTGTTTTAAATATATATTAGTGTCTGTGACTACACCAGGATCATCACTTGGAACAGGAGGAATGATTACAAAGCTCATTGCAGCAGAACTGGCGACTGCAGCAGGAGTGACGACTGTGATCGCTCGTGGATCCACACCTCAACGTATTTTTGACATTATTACTCTACCTATTCAGCGTACAGGATCAGCATCGCCCAAGCTTGATGGTGATTCATTAATCACTCAAGCATATGATTCAACCATTCCACTTCATACCCGATTCCTTGCCAAGGATAATCCTTTGGTAGACCGCAAATGGTGGATCTTGCATGGACTGCATGCTGCAGGCACTATTTACATTGACAGTGGAGCCTACAAGGCCATCACAAAGGCTACTCAAAAGTCGTCACTGTTCGCAGCGGGTATTGTGGACTGCAAAGGCAGCTTTGTAGCTCAACAAAGTGTTCGAATTGTTTATAGACCTAGAGACTTTATCAAGAGAGATGGGGGAGGTAATGGATTGTCAACAGCAGAAGGATCAGAAGCAGAAGGAGATCACAATGAACCTGAAGAAATTGAGGTGGGCAAAGGTTTAGTCAACTATGCCAGCCACGAGATCCTGAGGATCATGGGATGCCAGAGCAGTCAGATCATTGAGCGTCTGGGATATGCAGATGCTGAATGTGTCATCCATCGTGAGAACATGACGCGAACCAAGCTCACCAAGCCTTAAAAAAAAAAAAAAAAAAACAGCATTTCATTTATAACCATAGAAAAAATTGAGAACACACTATTAAAAAAAAAAAAAAAATTGCATTTAAAAATTGACATTAGACCCTGTACTAACATCACGCTCTTAGGAAGAAAAAGGAAGACGCGCGTTCATTCATGCATGAAATCAATTCGACCTTTTAATTCTCATTCGTTCTGTCTTTTCTTCCTTTCTTTCTTTCTTCCTCTCTTCCTTGTCTCTTTTCTTCAATCCTTTCCCACTTCTTTTTTCTTTCTTAATATTGTTTCTTGATTTTCAAGGGTAATAACTCTTAAAGTGAAAAAAAAAAAAAAAAAAAAAAAATGGTGTCCATACCAAAGAGTCAACCCATCAAAAGCCTAAAAGAACTGTTGGCGTGGCAGCCTGGACAGGATGAATACAATGTTGCGAATACGCCCTTGCATCTACGGCCTTCACCAACACTATCAGCCAGCCCTTACTCTGATTGTCGAGTTATCGTATGCCACGATATGGCTGGAGGTAATTTTTTTTTTTTTTTTTTTTTTTTTTTTTTTTTTCGAAGCCTGTTTCCAGGACAGACAAAAAAAAAAAAGCAATTAAACGTCTAATCCTCCCTCCATTTTTTTTTTTTTTTTTTTTTTTTTTTTTTTTGGCGTGTGAAAACCTGTGCATGAATGTACGTTATCTGATAAATCTTTCAGGATATGCGGAAGATGCATCACCACAGGGAAACAGTTACAGCACACTATACAGCATCCAATACTGGAACCACGTTGACGTGTTCATTTACTTTTCGCATTCCCTGATCACGATCCCGCCTGTAGTATGGACGAATGCAGCGCATAGAAATGGCGTTCGTTGTTTAGGTACCATCATCACAGAATGGTTACCTGGTGTCTTGGTGACCGATGAAATGGTCAGTGGGCCTGGTCAAGCGTTTGTAGACCAAGAAGGGAACGACATAGTGGACCGTCGGTTTTTCAGCCGGGCCTATGCAGACAAGTTGGTCCAGTTAGCAGTCTATTTCAAGTTTGATGGATGGTTTATCAACATTGAAAGCATTTTGAGAGGTGGAAACAAACAAGCTGAGCAGATGTATGCTTTTTTGGCTTATCTGAGAAAACGACTTCATGAGGCTATCCCCAATGGTGGAGAGTTGATTTGGTATGACAGTGTCATTTCTTCGACAGGCGAAGTCGCTTGGCAAGACAAATTGTCATCGGAGAATTACAGATTCTTTGAACAGAGCGATGGTAAAGATGAAAGTGGGAACATTAGGAGGGAAAAAAATTAAGCAGGTGAACAAGCTGAATCATTGCTGAGTCGATCTTTATTTATCCTATTCCTTTCTGATAGGCATTTTTACCAACTATACGTGGAAGGAAGGCTATGTGGCCGAATCTGCTGCCTTGGCAGGCTCCCGGAATAGAGATGTTTATACAGGAATTGATATCTGGGGACGTAAGTCATCTGTATTTTTTACTTTCTTTTCTGTACAGTGTGACAAAAAAAAAAAAAATCCCCGTGCTGACATATTGTATGTATAATAGGCAACACATTCGGTGGTGGAGGATACACAGCTTACAAAGCTCTGGAAGTAATTCAACGAGACAAAACCTCATGTGCTTTATTTGCACCAGCCTGGACCTATGAGTTCCTCGATAAAAAGGACTTTCTGACTAACGATCGACTTTTCTGGACTGGCTTTCATGGGGCAGGCCATCATATTGAGAATCTGCCCCTGGCATCGTTCTACAAAGCCAGTTACCGATTATTGTCTGGTGACCTTGGACGAAACCCTAATGACAAAGATAAGGATAAGGATAATAAGGCGTTCCTGCCAATCTCTGCCTACATCCCAGCAAGACCCTCCGGATGTTCGAGCTGGTTCTATTCCAACTTTGATCGAGGTTTTGGACATGGTTTCTGGGTCAACGGCAAGGTGAGAATCTAAAAAAAAAAAAAAAAAAAAAAAAAAAAAAAAAAAAAAACCTGTCATTTATACAAAAATAGCAGTAGCTATACCATCAGTACCATTATTGACGGTATATACTTTTGCCTTTGCCTTCATAACTATTTAGAAAGTTTCGAATAAGCCTTGGTCACATTTGTCGCATCAATCATTGTCGCCATCCATGACTAAACGTATCTTTGAAATTGGCGAGGATTACATTATCCATGCTACCCCATTGTTGGATCCCAGCCGTAAAATCCTTTGCTGGGCTCTGTCACCGGAGCTTGCCTATAATGGAGGGACATCTCTCTTAATCCAAGAGTTGACTACCTTTGGCAACATCCCGACTTTGCCGGATCCGCCAGCACCATCCTTACTGCCATCTGTGAAACCTGGACTTTCGACTGTAAACCCTAGGTTACAGCAGCAGGAATCATCAAGAACCATCTTGGTCCCACTTTTCAACACTCAGATACCCTTGCTTAATGCACAATATTCAGCTGTAGAGTTGATTTACAAGCCGTGTCTGGACACGTTCCAAGTCGGAATTCATTTAGGTCTCTCAGCCGTAATAGCACAGGATGAAAATAGTAACGATGATGAAAGTGGTGGTACAAAGAAAGCCCAACAGCAAGATATCCCAACTAGAACCAGTATCAAAGTCGGCCGCAAGCTCGCCAGATCCGAGCTCTACCCCATACTGCGTCCTAAAGTCAAGGAGCATGAAGTAAAAGCTATCGGCCAAGGCCACTCTACTCCCTCAAACGTGTCGTCGGAATTATCCTCACCATCGTCATCAACAACCAGAACAGTACTTGGAGCTCTGTTGACTTTAGATGATTCTGAACAGTCCGATAGTGACGCTCCTGAATCTGCATTCGCTATTGCATTGCCCCCACCCTCTATTCTGAATTCTGGAAACAGTACTGATAGTGACATGTTGTACTCTGTGGAGCCTCTTGAGGAGGGTTGGCAGCGTTTGACACTTCATATGTCGGGCATTTTTGATCTTCACAATGAAAGCCAGGATAAAAGCAAGACAATAGCCTCGTCTGTTGTTGTGTCCCAATTGGGCATTACCCTCAACTATAAAGCGTCTTCATCATCCACACTATTACGAGATGAAACCTTAAGCGCTTCATTCGAAGAAAAGCAAGAAGAGTCACGCCCACTGATCATTTTAGGGTCGCTCTCATTGATGCCGACACTGAAAAGTAGATTTAATGAATCATGTATACAAGGAGTAAGAGCGGAGGAGACTCAGCTTCAATCAATAGAGCGTTCAAAATCCTGCGTCCTAGGACAAGAACAAGCAGTCGTTGTACCCGATAAAGCCAAAGAATCCTCCCTTCAACTTTCCCCTCTAATCTCGATCTCATCGGCAATCATCTGGGATATTGGTTATCGAATAAGCTCATCTAGTAGCATGGCAGGCAATGACCTCGGAATCGAAAGCTATCCTTTGGAGACAGTCAGCACTATAATGTCCGCGCGCACATCTATATTCAACACTACCGCCACTTTTGCAACAAATGAAGACGCCGATTCTATTTCGACCGGCGAATACAGTCATTACTGTATTTATTTATCCCTGCAGCCTTCAAAGAATGACATTAAGAAGAAAAATCAAAATAACAACAATATATCCGAAAAGCCTGTTACAAACCCAAGCGCTGCTGCAGTGGCTGAAACAACCAAGGATGAAGTTGAAACGGATTACATAAGTACAAACATGGACGAGCCCATTCATTGGGTATTCGTGGGCACGGCCTTCACTAATCGGTATCGGATTTCCAATTTCGAGTTGGCTCTCAACTACGACAATTGTTCCTCTGTAGACACCCGTGAATCATTGCTTGCTTTGAAAGATGATAAGAAGGAACTATGGGCATGGGTTCAAGGTGTTCGCCGAGATGGACAAGCAGATGATATTTCAATGTGGGGAAAGGTCAAACTTTGTTGAAGAGAATATGTACAAATTTTTTATTATATAGATATATATATATTTACAGAAATAGAGATAAACAACAAAAAGAATAAAATAAAAACAAAATAGCTTTTTTCAGTGCATTTAAACAATTACAAGACTGCGATGCTCCTCTTGAAGATGGATCCCCCACTTGTATGCCAAAGAATCACACACCATGATCTTTGGGAATCGAGAAACTGGCGGAGTCATTGTCACGGCGGTAGCAGTGGGAATAAGGGTGGAATCAGTAGCCATAGTAGATGGGCTATTAGTTGTTGATAAGGACGCTCCTCTACTTCTGGACCCAGCCAGGCTTCCAAAGCTCAAAGCCGAAGATGATGATGGCGACGATGATGATCCTGTTCCGGGACTCGCTGTGGAGCCAGAGGTGGTGGATACGGTGGCGGATACAGCTGCGGCTGCGGCGGCCACAGCAACTGTACCCGGGTAAACCAAACGAGGGAGACGTGAACAATGATATGAGAGAGCTAGATCCGTGAGTTGCGGACAGAATCGGAGCAACTGCAGGTCAAAATAAGCTACAACTGGACCTCGGAGCGACATTGTACGTAGGCGAGGCAAAGGCCAGTTCCAAGTTAGGAATGAAGGTGAATGAGTCGTCCAAATGTTTGAAACCATATGACCTGAAGCAGAAGGACCAGAGAAAGATGTTGAATCCTGAAGGTTATTATTACCAGTACCACCTGTACCACCTGCACCATGGATGCCCGTCAGAATCTCCTGATGCCACATTGAAGACAACTCTGGGGGCGCATTGAAGGGATCGAGGGTCGATTGTGATCCTGTGGGTGCTGTGTTATAGTGATTCACCTGCAAAGGGTCCTGTATAAGGCTGATTCCAAAAAACGAGGTCGATTGTGGAGGATCGTCTGTGATGGCAAAGTGTGGCGGAGGAACCTCAAAATGAGCATCCGGTGGCTTAGTAATATCCGAATACATGGAGACTTGGATAGATTCCAATGTATCCTGGAAAGCGTAGATCACATCTTTAAAAGCAGCGACCACATCGGGTGTATGGCCAAACAAGGTCAGGCTCTTCAACGGAGGCAAATTGATAATCTCACCATGACCTCCTTCTGCTTGCCTATCTGACCAAAGTGAGGCTGTCCGAGACGAGAGCAAATTTTTTCGCGATCGAGTCATTGTTGTTGGAACGAAAGCGTCGTTCATGGTCGAAGCCATTGGCAATGATGATCCTGTGATACCCATGAGTGCATTTCGCCTCTCGACAGCCCAGGAAAACAACTTTGGATGAGGCACAATGATAGATAGTTCCTCAAGAACCGGACATCGCTTCACTAATTCGTCAAACATGTCAGGTCGAGGCACATCCATATGATGGCAGATCAGGAGTTTCCGTAGATGATCTGTGCAGATCGACTCTAATCCTGAGAAGACTCCTGTCCAGATAGAAAGATCCAGCACCTCGATCCGGTCCATCGTCTTGATGATCTGCAGCACTGACTTGGACATGTCGTATGAGTAATGGTACGATTGGCGGACTTGAATCTCACGCAACTGACCCGGGAAAGCCTTTTGGTGGCGTTGGATAAATACTTGGGGCACAGACACGGTATTGTGCATAATCGTGTCCGCATGATCAATCACAATCCTTCTAAGACCTGAAAGTCTCTCTGGAATGCCCGGAAGGAGGACATTGAGTGATGGATGATACCAGTGCGAGCAATTCATACCTAGTGAAAGTGTCTCCATCTTGGCTGATGTGTAAAATAGCAAGACCAACTCCAGAAAATCAACATCCTGAAGATCCCAAAGATTTCTGTTTCGCTTGGTACGACCTCGTCTCCACCGTCGGAATCGCCCTCCACCAGTGTTGCCACCATTAGAGCCAGTTCCGTTGTTACTCCCACCGTGTCGAAGGCTAAAGGTCATGTCCATGATTCCATCCTCATCATCATCTTCAAGGTCATCCATCAAGTCATGGCGAGTGTCGGATATAAAGGTTGAATTGACACCATTTTGATCAAAGTCTCCTGCCTCTCCTTGTCGATTGAAAGTAGGATGTTTGCCCATGATTCTTTTTGATGTCTTCTTGACCAAATCTTGCAGACGGGCATGCCAGGACGGTCGTGCATCACCAAGGATTTGATGGACTAGAGTCATGTTGGAGGCTGCAGACCAAGAGCGTACGTCTGTGTGAGTAACGTACGACAAATAATTGACCATGGGCGGCGGTTCACTGGCGAGACGGATGACGGTTTTGGCCAATTCAGGGGGGAACTTGAGCTTGGAAGTGTTTGGTCTCCCTAGTCCCGGGATCTTTCGCGTCTCCGGTCGTTGATTCTCAGCATCCCAAACAATAGGAATTTGCTCGATCCGAGTTTGGGTAGGTGTTGATGATGGTGGTTGAGCTGATAGCCTCTTATTGCCTTTAGCATAGGAAGTTGATGATAACTCCCCACTACAGCTGTTGCCTAGTTTGTGGAAAAGAGATTTGAGAATGGAGCGATCACTGGTGGATTGATGTGCACTGACGTTGATACGAGGATTGGGAAGGATGACGGGAAGAATAGAAACAGTAGCTCTTTCACTTTCATCTACTCGCAGAGATGTATCAGAAGAATATGTCTGTTGTTGTTGGTTTACAGATGCCTCCGCGATAACGACGGATATGTCATTTCTGTTCATGATAGATGTCGATGTGGGCATTGTTGTTGCTGTTGCTATTGCTATGGAATCGTTTGGCAAGTCTTTATCACTACGCCGTACTACTGTGATTGCTCGACCCAATGGTCCTGGAAGCTTTCGACTGACACTACTGTTGTTGTTGTTACTGTTATTATTATCACCACTATTGCTGTATTTAGAATGCCTTTTTTTTTCCATCTGGGGATCAACAATGGGTGTGACCCTGTTGATAGTTCTGGTACAGCATAAAAGAAGAGTCCGAATCAGCTTCGTCTGACGCTCGATCACGCCTTTGTAAACTGATCGTTTCCAAACCCATCGGGCTGACAGGCGGAAGGGGTCTCGATAGAGCAGTGGTACAACAAGACCAAAGAATGCTTTGTTGACACACATCAGAGGATAGAGTTCTTGAATTGTTGGAATAGCGACCCATTGGACTATTAATGCGAGACACTCGGGTGGTAATAACATAAGATTTCTAGGGTGCTGAGCAAGAATTAAGGCAGTTGGGGTTGTTGCTGTTGTTGCAGGCGTTGTTATCGTCGACATGGCTGGCGTTGAGGACATTGATGATGATGGTGCTTTTGTAGGCGATAAAATTTGGTCAGAGTGCTCAGATGAATCGACTGTAGCGGCTTTTGAAGAAGAAATTGTGTCTGAAGTGGAAGTAAAAGAAGTAGTAACCATTACGGTCGACGCGAGGTGCGCGGGGGTATTAGAGACTTGATATGCAAAGATGTGAAGAATGAAAGAGGAGAGGGAGGAAAGGGAGAGAATGTGTTTTGGAGGATAGAGTATGAGGGTGTGAGTGTGACAGTGTGAGAGAATGTGAGGTGTGAAAATGATATTTTTTTATTTTATGTATTTTTTTTTTTTTCCTATGGTTATATATCACCCCTGTAGGAGTTGAGAACAAAGAGAGCAAGTGAAGAAAAAGAAAAAAGATGAATAAATAAACAAAAAAAATAGAATGAGAATGAATGAAGATGGGTGAGAGTGGGAGAAAGATGAAGAAAAGGATTGAATGCTTTTTCCTTTTCTTTGTGAGTAACCAATGTCACACTAGAAGTGAAAGTGATCAAATATATCAACTTTGCAAAGGTTAAGAAAGAATGGGAAACCAAAAGAGGACAAAAAAAAAAAAAGATTGACCATGCGGACTAAATTATTGCAAATGCTGTTGATGTGATTTTTAATTGATTGGGATGAATTGGTGAGTATAGATCAAAGGACTTTTTCAGCTTTGCATGGCTTCCATGGTTGGAAAAGTCTGCATGGTCTGCATTGGCCTGAACAATCTGCAATGGCTATCTTTCCCTTTGTTTCTTTTTTCTACCTTTGCCCTCGGAGTACCTTTTTTTTTTTTTTTTTTTTTTTTTTTTTGGTTCTCTCAAAATCAAACTTATAATAGATCATTCCATGATAACCGCTTCCGCTTTTTTTTTTCTTTTTAAAAAAAAAAATGGATATCCTTACATACTTCCTTTCCCTCCCTTATTCACTCTTCTGGTAGAGTCTCTCCTCATTTCTATAACTTTTGTCTCCTTTCTTTAGATCCCTCAATAAGCCCTAGCCTGGTGTTGTGTGTTTTAGTTCCTGGCACAGCATTAGGAAAATAAAAGTATATTTTTATAAACAACGGCGATTGCTTGGTGCCTGTTGTATTGCCATATCTACCTGAACTTTGCAGTAATTAGCAGAATTGTTTGGTTTCTCTTGAATGACTACCATCCAGAGCAACTAGTTAGAATCGCAGGAGCTCACTCCATTGTCCAAAGAATAAAATTCGACTGGTAGCTAGCCCAACTCTCAAAATGTGATGCAAAATAACGCTTAAAGACACTTCAATATAATTACAGCAGCTTCTGAGACGCAGAATAGATATACTCGTCTCTTAAATATACTGGAAGATGCAGAGTTTATTCCTTGAGCTAAGCTTTTTGAAGTTACGCCAGTTATAAGTAAATACATATTGTCCCGCTACTCTCTTAATCCCAGCACTCTCTCGATCCAAGGGCTGTGACATAGCCATCAAAGGATACATGTTTGTCAACACTGAAACATCCCTTGGGGAAGCGCAGGAATATGTTAAAAGTACTGTTCAAGGAGCGCAGGATAGTCAATAGCATGTGGTAGTGTTCAGATTCGGACAGTCGTCATGTTCAGATGGATTGCAAATGAAGTGAATTTATGGCATACACAGAGATAGGCCTCAAATAAGGTGAATACATGGAATAATAAAGAAGAGTTGTGATAAAGTGCTTCTATCTAATAGCGTCTCGAGTATAATCTATATGAGTGCCGCTTCTGAGGAATATGCACACCTTGTTAGGCCCAGTGGAAGTTTATCCAGGAGGCGTGACCAGCAATAAGTTTCATCGTATATCCAGGATGCAAGATACATTTGACAACCCAGGCAGTAATGAATATCAGGCTGCTTATGAGAAGCTCCCTGCATCAAGTCAAACTAATTCATGGAACTACAAGAGGTATTTCCATATGCACCTATTTCACAGCCCAGCATATTAGACACCAGGGTGAGACCATGGCAGAGATAATGCAGCATGGACACGAGGTTGCTAAAATTCTAGACCACTGTGGAGTGTCTGATTCAATAGAAAAGCGATAAATATTTCACCTAGGGGCATGGTCTTACATCCAGGTGGAGCAATGAAATAGATTCACAGTTTTGAACAGAACAGCTCCCATAGCTATGAATGAATGGAAACTTGAGTGGGTTGACAATGGCGATTGAAATAGCACCTTTTGTGATGCAGATGATGGCCTCCCAGGCACTGGTGTAGGCATCGTTTCAGCAAATAGATATGCTCACGCAGCATGGTATTTTTAAAAAAGCGAACTTTATAAAAGATTCAGACTAGGGACAATGCTATTGTCCTCGTCATTTGGTCATGAACATATTCTAAAGCATATTAGTATTGAATTGATTTGGCTGGCTCCAAATTTTGAATACTCAATGGAAGTTGTGAAGATGAAAAGAAAAAAAGTGATGCGCGCCAAGCGTGATGGAAGGCTCTTTCACGTGGCCGGAAATTAAAAAGATCCCTCAACGCTTTCAGGAAAGTCTTTCATGGGTCATGCCGCTTTCATTTCATCCATTGAAAGCATACCATATCTTGTCACTTTTCCTTATCATATTTCGAATTTCATGGGAGTTAGACCATGGCCTTTTGCAATTATATCCACATCCAATTTACTTCCTTCCTTCCTTTATAAAAACGAATTCTGAACCATGACCTTCAAGTCCACCAGGTTCACCAATATGTTCAGTTTAATAACAAAAAAAAAACCAATCAACTTGGCATGGCCTTTGGTCACTTCATTTTATTGTCAGAAATAGCGCAGGAGTCTGATATGGAGAGAGTGCAAGCGAGGCTTGATGCTCTTACGCTTGAGCTCAGAAACACACAGCAGGACCTTTTGGATGCCGAGAATGATCCCAAGCAGACCTATCTGCAGCTCTATTGAGCTGGAAAATACAAACACGCACGTCAGGAGGCCAAAGCTGAACTTGATCCAGTTACTCTAAGGTTCGACTCGAGCTGCTAAGGATACTCTTATCAACTGCGATCGTGCACGCCAGAAGGCCAACCGCATCGAGTTCTACCGCGTCCGCCTAAAGAGCAAGAGGTCTTTGTTGTCCTAAAGTTCCAAAGGCCTCAGCCATCACTAGTTGGAGGATTCCGCATCTTTACACAACAACGAAAGGTTGTTGACCGCAGAGTGAAGCAATTTTATTGCTGTCAACCCTGAGCTGAACGCCATCAAGGTTAAAGAGTTGCGATTTGATCTTTTGCCGAGAGGAGAAAACGTCATTCAGTATATGAGACGCGTCAAGAATGCTCCAACCAAGTTACTAATCATAGCTTTGTTCTCAAGGACGACAATAAGGAAGATAAGATGATTGAATATATTTCAAGAGCCTTCACCACCTTTAGTGGGAGTCACTTCTGAGCATCATCCGAATAGCCGATTGTTCAATGACATGAATATATAGTCTTTTTTTCTTTTTGTCTTAAAAAAAAAAAAAAAAAAAAAAAAAAAAAAGAGAGAGAGAAAGATGTATTTGCGTGTCTATTGTGTCAAAAGGCTTGTCGAGTGTGCCTGGGAAGGAGACAGAGGAAGGAGGGATCTTCGTCCCGTTGTTTTTTTATTTTTATGACGCTTGGGACATCCAAAAAGAAGGACGACATGAACAGACTACTTTTGTCTTTTGTTTATGAAATCTCCTGCCACTCTTTGTCTTCTGTCTTCCAGCCGCTTGGTTTTTTTACAATATAACTTTTTTCTATTCATTTAGCCCATTCACCGATTCTTTTTTTTTTTTTTTTTTTTTTTTTTGACTTTCCATGGTAGTCATGGCTATCAGGGTTAACAGCGAAATGCTCGAACTCTTCTTTTTTAGTACTCGGGTGTCAAGAAAAACAAAGTCTGTGGAAAGAGTAACAGAAGCGCGTGCTTCTGTATGTTATATATTTTCACCTGCTCATCATTGTCAATCTTTCCCGGAGATGGACCCAATTACGCTGCGTTTCTGTATCAATATCTCCCTAATCTCTTTTTGACATGTGTGTATTTTATGCTTGATAATGTCACAATAAAGTGGAAAAATAGGAATAGATGCTATGTCAAAGATCAATTTGTTCTTGTGTATGTATGTCTGTATCCATTTGAACAAACTTCTCATGACACCCCAGATCATGATGACCTTATTCATCCTTCGGCTGTCGTTGCACCACATAGGCTGCCTAGTCCTACCTTCCTTCCTTTATCGCCATCCAATGGATGCCAAAACGGCCGATCCTCATGATATGTCCAAGGATGTAGCAATGAATGAATTCTCCGGTTACATTGAACAACGGCCAATCTCGGAGTCCTATCTGGACAAGTTGCGCTATAAACAAATCTATGAGAATGTCTATGATACCCACGTCGTAAGTTATTTTGAGTGTAGGAGCAAGATTAGTTTTCACATTTGGGTATCACCTTCTATTAGCTGGTTACTCAGTCCACGACAACTTCTGTGCTATCCACACTGTCAATCTCTATTGGTAAGAGATCTAATGTTGCACGGACCAAATATATCTCGAAAGAGCACTGGAATACACTCAAATCCACCACCAAAGATATCAAGACTGGAATCTCATGGTGACAGGAAGCGATTTAAGGCTTTATGCCGAATACGACCCGATAAAGAAATAACCCCGACGTTGAAGGCAATCACCCTTACTCTAACGTCAATGGTAAATTCTCTCGCTCAAAGTCGTCAGCCCGCCGCGCGCCCAGGCACCCAATAACGATGAAACCAGTTCGAGGGATTTGAAACACAAGTACATAAATTACCATCGCGAAAAAAAAAAAAAAAAAAAAAAAAAAAAAAGTGATCTAAGGATGGTAAACGACATCGAAAACCCCACAGCAGACGACAGAGTTTTTGGAATCCTAGCTGGTGCACTCGAACCAACAGCGAAACGCTTACTCCATCACTCGAAGATCTGAAAACCATTTCTAGAATAAAAAAAAAAAAAAAGAAAGAAAGAAAGAAAGAAAGAAATCCCGAGCCTGAGACCATCAAAAATGCTATAACGGGCGCATGAAAGACCAATATGCTTTGATATGAATGTCGTCTGCTGCGATGAAGTCACTAGCCAGCTTATCACGAAGGCTAGCTTTCTGGGACTCTCAAGTTATAATTTCATAATGGTTGAGGCCACACCGAAGTATCCTAGAAAAATATACTTTTATTTTCTAATGCAACTTGCAAGAAATGTGTATTCATCTGGTTCATCTGAAAACATCCTATTCCAATTATTGCTTACGCAAAATGGCGGATATGGTGATTGTCCTGTAATAGTGTCATCTTTACTTCTTGTCCGTTGTCTAACTCTTTATTACTTCTCCCCCTTTTTGTTTGCCTGTTTCGCCCCTTTGCTTGGACATCGCGTCCCTTCCACCCTCGTCGGTGTGCCGTATAACGCGTTATCGATCAAGCTGAAGACGAACTCTAAAAGATCTTATTTTCACCCAAAATCATGATCTTACGATGCGATTTACTTTTAGACACTGATGGAATTAATCAAGTAGTTTATTTTGAGAGGAGTCGGGGAAATGGGGCAGATCGAAGCATACTTGTCCGTTTTGTGAAATACAGAAATATAGATACCTGTCATCTGGCATATTCTCCATTAGCATGTGATATATCCTGGTCTGGATAGTATGTCCAAGGGGATGAAGCTCAGGATCAGTGTCGGGCCACAAGCTCTTGTGTTGTTCGTCCCCTACCACAGAGTGGAATTTTTTTTTACTCTGACAAGCATTCCAAAGCTGAATCCTTATTGGAGTGATCCGTTAAGATCATCAAGACAACACTTATAAAAAAGAAAAAGTAATTGAAGCACTGGATCAACTAGCATCAAGTAGATCACTTTGTCTACTGGCGCGAGTTATTTTTACTTTTAAAGCCGTCTATTCTGTCTTTGCTTCTTCGCCTGTCACTTTTATCTTTTTTTCGTCAAAAACATCTATTTGTTATGCGTTCATGTATAATGAACATCAGCCTCCAGTACTCGTATGACCTTGCTGAGGGGATCTAGTGCGCATGCTATCTTATGTTTGCCTTGTCTATATTCTTCCTTTGGAATATATCCCTCTTTTTCTAATATACTTTTTTTTTGTCTCCATCCGCTATCCCTGAAGGGGATGGAGGATGGCATTATGGACTGCTAGAGCTAGATTTCGCCATATACTGGCACCCCAACGGCTCATTCCCTCTTCTTAATCGATATTTCTGCTCTCTTTACCTTTTTTTTCTTTTTACCAATTTTAGTTTTATTTTTATATTTTTGTTTGCCCTTCCTTCCTTCAATAAAGACCTTTGCAAATTTTAACATCACTTTAAAGTCCAGACTGGATTACAATGGGCTTTATCAATAACTAAATATTTCCCTGCTTTGGTATCTTTGCAAAGTCTACTTTTTTTTTTTTTTTTTTTTTATTTTTTTTATTTCCGTTGTCGTCTTTTCTGTCAACAGTCTACTCCAATTGAAGGGGTCTCAAGCGCTGAAAGAGGCTGTGTTTTTTCACTTCGTCCTGTCTCGGCATCTTGCTTCATAAGACTATGACCTGCATTTCGTAATGCATTTAGGAACGCTAAAAAGTATCCAGTAAAAAAAATAAATAAATAAATAAAGTAAAATAGAGAACCTTTTTTTTTACAATGTACTATTCTCCTTACATGGTACTCCAGACTTGGCTGCCCAATTGACAATGCTGGAAGGGATGTTTCCCTAACAATAATGATAAAAGAAGTCTTAGAAACATGAACAGCACTTAAAAAGGACAAGTTAAAATAAGAAGGAAAGAGTAAGGAGCATACCTTGGGGTTGTCAAAGTATGCAAACCAGATACGGCATCCTCGACCATCCTCTGTAGGCTGAATCACCACATCCTGTCGATATTCATCCACACGGACAGTACCAGGCTTTTCAGGCATAGCCGGATCTTCTACGCTCTTGCCATTGATACAGACTACACCATTGCCATATTCCTGAATCCCGAGTTCATAGACATAATCGCGAGGCGAGAGTGGCCAAGGAAATTTACTTGTAAAATGCAGTCGATTTGCATCTAGTTGTTTCCAGTTGGCCATGTTCTTGTCCCAGCTTTTGCGATGCTCCAAGTCAGTATATGCACGAAGAAGGTACCGAACAGGAAGATCAGGGTATGTTCCGAGTACTTTGTATTCCTTGAGCGCACTCTTCGCTACCGTACGGCGAAAGACTTTAAAGTTTGAGGCTTCAGTGAAGAGTTCCCAGCTGGCAACATCTGGGTCCTTGAGCTCTAAAAGAGCTGTGTTAACTTGTTCTTCTGTGAACATGACGACGCTTATGGTTTGAAAATGCAGATATAATAATCTGTGTCTAAACGAACTGCTTTTAATCTTGGTGGTCGAAAAGAAAAAGGAGAGGAAGAGAGAGGGGATGAAAATCTTTGTGCGGAAGAAGGAAAAAAAAAAAAAAGCAAAAGACCCTGCCTTAGACAATGTATATAAATATCCATACCGTCTTTCATCATCATCATCATTTTGAACCTTCTTTCCATCTCTCTCTTTCAAATTGTGCTTCACAGTGAGCGATGGAGGCGACAGGAACACTGGAGCTGCAGTCTCTTTTGACAAATAAAAAAAGAGGAAGAAGGGGGGGGAAGACTACTAACCAAACGTTAGCTCCCTCCCAAACAAAAGAGCAATCAAAATAACGATGATGCAAGTTGCTTATGCTTATTCACCTATTTTGATACATCAACCCTTTTTTTTTTGCCTTTGACTTTACTTCACACTCAGAGGGACTTGCTCCGCAATGCTGGAAAACCTACTGTCTATTTTGTACATATCCTGTGCATGCGCCATAAATCGTAGAAATGGCTGGCAGCGACGACTACAAGATATTGAATCATTACTTCTATTCAAGTTTGAAAGCTTCATTACGTCCAAGACGTTATTTTTCACTAGAAAATTGGCCTCCACCTTCATCTCTTGACCATAATTATTCTTCACGTACAAACATGAAGGTAAATCTGCAAATCCACAAAAATGAATAAAAATACCTACCTCTCTGGAAGTAATTAGAAATAACTCTGCATAGAGAGGTTATGCAATGTCACTCTTCTATGCATTCCATCTCTTTTTGCAATGGTTTTTGGGGCCGCTTAATGATGAACAATACAAACTTAGAAATGAACCTTTTGCTGTTTTGGATAGGGTTTAATAGTGTGGATGATAACTATCCAACGCTTTGAGTTGATATTAGACAATAGTCGAGAAGGGGGGTTTTTCTTTGCCTTCTGCCTAAAAACATGGCTTCCATGTCGACATTTTGAAGCATTACCAAAATTGAGGACATGCGCATCACTATTTGCTTAGTAAAAGGTTGTTGGTTGTTGAAGTGTCTAATCCAATGTACAGATGATTTTCACCAAATAAAGCTCAGCAGTAATAGTAAATCACTGCGATCAAAAAATATGTTATTATGTCTCTATACCGTTTCTGCTACTGGATTGAAGCTGGATGCCATGATTAAGAAGCTACAAGTTACAGAGACCTTGGGTAGTGATTTTTTTTTTTTTCTATTGGAGCTGAATAACTGAAAACAATGTTATGCTATTGAGTAGCACAAGGACCCGCATTGAACTTGTTGCTGATCTATAACTTATATCTCTATACAGTAAGTCAATAATGGTATACATGTATATCAGACAGTAAATTCTATTGAATGTATATTCCTTGAATGCAAATTTCGCAACCATTAAACGTAAAATATATTTTATACACCATTCGTAAGAACAAAAAAAGAGACCAAGATTTACAGAACATATTAATACTTGATCTTGCTCGCCGTAGAGGGATATTGAAGGTATATTATCTATTCTTAAGCTCAAGATAACTTTGTAGGTTGCTGGGTATACCAAGGCGAGAGGTAAAAAATATTTATTTGCACCAAGCAGACATGTAAAATGTATCCAACTTTTTTTTATTCATCTACACTAAAATTATTGAATCCTGTTGACACAATGACATAACACAAACGATGTTGAGGCGAGATACCAAAAAGTAAGATTATTATCATTAAAAGGAGGTTAAGTAACCTGCAGAAATACGCCCAATGTGGGGGTCGAACCCACAACCTTGAGATTAAGAGTCTCACGCTCTACCGATTGAGCTAACCGGGCCAATTAGATAACTTCGATAAACTTAATGACTTTATGGATAGATATAAATCATAAGCCATCATGCACGTGACCCAGTGAAACTTCTAGTTTTCCGGCTTGGAGTCGGTAATAGGGGCTCAATCGTCACGCCCAAGGGCTGAGTAGTATACTTGTCAGGGTACCCCCCTTGTGTAGCCCAGGGGCCGGGTTCGAGTCCTGGTTAAGGCACATAAAGTGAAGCAAACATGTGCCAGGCCAGGGATCTGCTTGAGTTTTTATATTTTCTCTCCGAGACAGCCTAGTGTTCTCCGTTAAGGCTGACACACCGCACATCTGGAGATGTCCAAGGACGGTGGAGACTCAGGCCGAGAAGTGGAAAGAGATAATCTAAAATGTGAATATGATAGGGGAGAGGACATGGAGGAAAGAGTTGAAAGCAGTGCAGGAGCAAGCACAAAGGGCCAGAGAGAGAGGTGTAGACCCACCAAGGACAAAAGAGCCAACTTTTACTGCGGCAGAGGAGGACTACATTTGGGGAACTCTGGAGATGCATATCGTTGGTGTGCGAGAAGTACAGTCCTCCAAAAAAGTGTTAGCATGTTTGTCACTTTTCTGGTTTTTCTCTTCTATCTCTTCCATATTACCTGCGTTTGCCCTGAAGTTAAATGTATACAATCTGGTATATCACTAGAGCCTGTATCAGGTTTCAGCTTTAAGTAAAGGCGGTTTAGGCTGCTGTTATAAACTTTTAAAATTGCGCCTTCCATTCTAACACTTTTTTGAAAAATGACATCTCGAACTTTATTTCTTCATATTTTCCGCTTTAATAGTCTATGTTACGTCCTGAGGCTAGGGAGTGTACCCAAATGGAGCACTCCCCTTTTTATTCATAGATCAGAGCAATTAGTGACGGCTATGTTGGAGCCTATATAAGGCTCCGACCTAGCTAAAATAATAAACAACTTTTGATCTCCTTGACTTCCGATTTACCATAAAACATTTCAGTCTATATAGCCTCCTTTGTTGTCATAGAGCTTCCTTATCCTCCTGGGCATGCTTTCATACAGTCCTTGAATTTCTTGTATATCAATCTTGCACCATATGTCTTGGAATCTCTCCCACAGTTCGTCGATGGATTTCGGAGCTGTTGGATAGTCTTCAAGCCCTCTCTTGACGCGCGCCCAGATGTTTTCTATTACGTTGAGATCAGGAGAATTTGCAGGCCATTTCAGAAGCTTGAGCTTGGCCTTCTTCACATACACTATCATGCAATACTGAAAGTATAATTCATTCCCATGTCCATTTCTTTTTCTCATTCCTAGAAACCGTATATGCATACACCACTCACACTTTGGTTTAATAAAGCTCCCGTCTTCTTCTACGTCATAGTTATGCGCTGTGGCATTAGCTTGTCTCATTTAGAAAGTTAATGACTTTTTTGTTCATGCAGGTCTCTCTTTCAGTTTTGCATGTGGTCTCAAATGTTGCCCATGACAACATCTGGTCGTCATTAAATGCGAATAAAAGAAGGACTTTCTCTCTTTCCTTTATGAACACTTGCTTAACTCTCTCTTAACTACACCTTCACAGAGTATGAGACCCACTCCACAAAGGAAAGTCAACGAAGCCAGGAGGTTAATGATGGCAGGCATGTCTACTAGAGAAGCTGCTTGTCAAGGACTGACAGGACGATTGCAAGAGAAGGTAAGTGATTTAGGAACAAGAATGAACCTAGGAGATTCAAGAATAGTTTTATTGCAGACTGAGGTTTACTATGTTACAAATCTATCATATTTATACTTGTTTGACTGAAGCGGAGACGCGCTTCAAGAACTCTAAATAAAGCTTACTCAAATATTTCCTAAGGACTTTTACCATATGCGGAACTCCAAGTGTTGAGTTAACTTAATACACAGGATCCGAGGAAGATATCTGGTGCAATCTTATTTCAAGGTTCCTTGGCACTATAAGTCTTGGTTATTGGTTTATAGCTCTTCTAGAATCCTTGGAGCTATTCACGGAGCTAGAAAACTAGGAGACGCGACTTGGCTTGACAGGCAAACTATGCATGGAGGAATGAGTGAAGGAAATGAGCGGAACAAATTAATCAAGCACACGTGATCTTTTTCAGATTCGAATCAGACAAAAGTCATTCATCAATTCATGAGCTAGACATTGCTTGCTGTTCGTGACACTGCTGCTAGTGTCGGTATATCACAATGGACGGCCAACAAGATCTATGCAAAGAATAAAGAGTACATGCCAGTTAATAAAGGTGGTCGACCAAGGAAACTACCTATAGATATCACGCAATATCTTAAGGTGAACATGAAACGAGGTACACTCAAGTCTGCAGTTGAGGCCACCGTCAGAGCCAACCAGCTCATACCAGCGGCTGTTTCTGAGACCACCGTTAGACGACGGCTCAAGGAGTTGGGATTGACAGCAAAGAGGCGTGTACGTAGGCCAGCTCTACGGCGAAGACATATTAAAGCCCGTTTGCATTTTCTCAACAAGTATATGGAATGGACTCTGAAAGATTGGAAAAAGGTTATTTGGTCAGATGAATCGAAAATAAACCGAATCTGTTCTGATGGCGTACAGTGGATCTGGGACGACACTCCGGGACGTCTCACTCGCAGGTCAGTGCAAGGCACTGTCAAGTTTGGGGGTGGTAATGTTAAAGTGTGGACATGCTTTTCATGGTACGGACCTGGATACATTGCAAAGATTGACAATAATATGGACGCACAACTTTACATCAAACTACTGCAGGAGGATCTACAGATGTCCCTTGATGACTGGGGGCTAAGTTAAAGTGATATCGTCTTTCAGCACGACACGGCGAGGATTGTTAGGAAGTATTTGAAATCAGTACATCTAACAGAAGAGGAAGGTACACTTCTAGAGTGGCCAGCACAATCCCCTGACCTCAACCCTATTGAACATGTGGGCAGAATTGGATAGGCGGCTCTCTAGATATCCGGAGCGAGCTAAGAGTTGTGATGAACTATGGGAGCGAATATCTGTTGAATGGTATAGAATCCCAGTGGACTTCTGCCGCAAACTCATCATAGGTATTCATAAGAGACTCCAAGCTGTCAGTGACGCCCATGGTTGGAATACTATCTATTGATGTAAAGATATGGCTTACAAAAGAATAAAGATCTTCGGCCATCGAATGAGCACATGCAAAACTGAAAGAGAGACCTTGTAATAAAGTCAGACTAGAGGAAGACTAGGTAACTAACCAGTTGGTGTGCAAGGGATCAAGAGAGGTACGTGGG